CACAACCAAACATTGAATAGTAATCATTCAGCAATGCAGAGGGAGCACATTACTATGGATAAGTGTTAAGTATTTTTTGTGATACATGTACATTTCAGAAGGTATTAGGCAGGTGAAGCAAAAGCATTCTTGTTTGTGTAGCTGTATGGTACCATTCTGCTTTGCAGTTTCAATTATGGATTCTTAAATTAATCAAAGAGTTTTTAACACCACATTAAAGGTGTCCAGCTTGACCCCATCTCCATTCCTGCACAAATATAATATCGGCAATGTTTATACAGAGAGTAGTAAAATGTGAGATCCGTAAGTCACAGTCAACTTGGAGGCACATAAATAACAACAAAGCATCTCGACTGGTTTCTGGCTACAGGACCAATGGCTGGGGATGGGAGAAGTGTTGCACTGTGAAGATAGAAATGAGATGCACCGTAGTTAATATTAGCCGTATTCACACAACAGACAAGAATGTGGTCAACAAATCAAGGAGCGTCATTATAAGCGGATTTACTTATAGTCCTTCTCTGCCTTAAATTTGAGTTACATCTATATAAATAAAAATATAATGTTCGTTTGTGGGATTGACAGAACTCAAAAACCACTGGACGAATTGACACCAAATTTGGACACAAGACACCCAACAACCCAATGTATGTCCTCCACTCAAAAAATCGATTTTGTCATTTGGGAGTTGTAGTTGCTGGGATTTATAGTTCACCTACAATCAAAGAGCATTCTGAACTCCACCAATGAGGGAATTGAAGCAAACTTGGCACACAGAACTCCCATGACCAACAGAAAATATTGGAAAGGCTTGGTGGGCAGTGTCCTTTGGTTTTGGACTTGTATTTCACCTACATCCAGAGATCACTGTGGACTCAAACAATAATGGATCTGGACCAAACTCTACATGAATATATATGCCCAAATGTGAACACTGGTGGAGTGTGGGGAAAATAGAATCTTGACATTTGGGAGTTGTAGTTGCTGGGATTTATAGTTCACCTACAATCACAGAGCATTCCGAACCCCACCAACGACAGAATTGGGCCAAACCTCCCACACAGAATCTCCATGTGGGCCACAGCAACGTGTGGCAGGGGACGGCTAGTCTATATAAATAAAAATATATAATGTTCATTTTTGGGATTAACATAACTGAAAAACCACTGGATAAATTGCTGCCAAATTTGACCACAAGACGCTTACTAACCCAAAGAGTGACCATTACTAAAAAATGGATTTTGTCATTTGGGAGTTGTAGTTGCTGGGTTTTATAGTTCATCTAGAATCAAAGGGCATTCTGAACTCCACCAATGATGGAATTGAACCAAATATGGCACCAACAGAAATCACCAGAAGGGTTTGGTGGGCATTGAGCTTGAGTTTGGGAGTTGTAGTTCACCAACGTCCAGAGAGCACTGTGGACTCAAACAATGATGGATCTGGACCAAATTTGGCACAGATATTCCATATGCCCAAATATGAACACAGACGGAGTTTGGGGAAAATAGACATTCACATTTGGAAGTTGTAGTTACCGGGATTTATGGTTCACCTACAATCAAAGAGCATTCTGAACCCCACCAACGACTGAATTGGGGCAAACTTCCCACACAGAACCCCCCATGTCCAACAGAAAATGCATGGCAGAATGGGATAGGACTGGATGGTCTCTGGGTTCCTCTTGTTATTATTATAATACTAGCCGTCCCCTGCCACGTGTTGCTGTGGCCCACATGGGGGTTCTGTGTGGGAGGTTTGGCCCAATTCTATCGTTGGTGGGGTTCAGAATGCTCTGTGAGTGTAGGTGAACTATAAATCCCAGCAACTACTGTTCTGGAACAGTTGTTCCAGGAGCTCCAATTTTATTTCTTTGAATTAAATGTTGGTTTGCAATCCCAGGCATGGGATTTTGCAGCAGGGTGGCTTCCTGTTATAATTTGCATTCATAGGACAAGCCACCTGTCAATAACAGTTAGGTTCCCTGGTCCCGCCCCTCTCTGGGTTTTTTTTGGAGGGAAGTTGCCATTTTTCAGTTAGTCTCAAAAAGGAAGTCAATGCAGAGGATGTACACAAACGTCCTCCTGTGCAAAGGCTTCGTCTCTTAAGACTTCCCGGGGGAGAACAGTTTTAAGAGCCTCTACAGATTCCCAAAAGGTTCCAGGGAAACAGCTTCACAGCCCTGAGGACTTTCGGAGGGAATAACAGCTCTGCTCATCTCCAGCTAAGTGACTACAGGCCTGTTGGCACGTCTGCTAGGTTCTGGGATGCAGTTCAGCCGGTAGTGGACTCAAGTCAGTCAGGTTTAGGTTCACAGCAGCCTGGGAGGAGCTAAAAAGGAGAATTTTCCTTTTAACAAAATTTTTGAAGATAGTGCCTGTTTCCTGTAAACAAGATTGCAAGACCTAATAGTCTGTTAAGAAAGCTTACAATTCCTGTTTGTTTATTAATAAAGAACTGTTATATTTAAGCTCAAGCCTTATAAAGACTGCTTCATAAGGGGAATTTTCCTAAAGGCTTCTTTTTGGGCCCCCTGGCTTCCCGCTGGATGCAAGCCTAACATCCTCTCTTAAAAGCACCTCATTTCGTCTCCAGCGGCGACAGAACAACTACAACTTCCAAATGTCAAGATTCTATTTTCCCCAAACTCTACCAGTGGTCACATTTGGGCATATTGAGTATTCGTGTAGAGTTTGGTCCAGATCCGTCATAGTTTGAGTCCACAGTGAGCTCTGGATAGGAGCGGCTCAACCTATTACGCAAAGTAAGCATTCGCAGTATAGTTGATTTTGCCCAGAGGCGCTCTTGAGGCATTCTTGGGGGAAAATAGACTTTGACATATGCGAGTTGTAGTTACTGGGATGTATAGTTCACCTCCAATCAAAGAGCATTCTGAACTCCACCAATGATGGAATTGAACCAAATACGGCACACAGAACTCCCACGACAAACAGAAAATATATACCAGTGATTGGTGGGGGGGGGGGGGGCAAAATACTGTTTGCTTACCGTTGAAAATTACCTAGGGTCACCTCTGGCTCTGGATACAGGTGAACTACAACTCTAAAACCAAAGGACACTGCCCACCAAACCCTTCCAGTATTTTCCGTTGGTCATGGGAGAACTGTGTGCCAAGTTTGGTTAAGTTCCATCGTTGGTGGGGTTCAGAATGCTCTGTGATTGTAGGCGAACTATAAATCCCAGCAACTACAACTCCCAAATGACAAAATCAATGTTTTTGAGTGAAGGACATACATTGGGTTATTAGATGTCTTGTGTCCAAATTTGGTGTCCACTCGTCCAGTGGTTTTTGAGTTCTGTTAATCTCACAAACGAACATTACATTTTTATTTATATAGACTAGCTGTCCCCTGCCACGCGTTGCTGTGGCCCAGTCTGTTGATCTGTAAAATAAAGTAATGAGAAAGTGTTGGTTTCTAATATATGTAATTTTTTATGCTTGTGGGTAAACAGTATTTCTTGCTGTTTCTTTGTCAGTATTGATGTGGAGAGTGTCTGGTTTGCCCACCCTGGAACATGCAACATATAATTGTCCTTCTTCAGGGGTCCCTTTCAAATCTATGATCCTATATCTCTCTCTGTGTGAATCATATCTATCTATATCTATGGCTGGATGGCTCTTTGTCAGGAGGACTTTGATTACATTTTCTTGCCCTGGTGAAGGGAATTGGACTGGATGGCCTTGAATATTTTCTCTTGGTCATGGGGGTTCTGTGTGGGACGTTTGGCCCCATTCTGTCATTGGTGGGGTTCAGAACACTCTTTGATTATAGGTGAACTATAAATCCCAGTAACTACAACTCCCTATCTATCTCTATCTATCTATCTATCTATCTATCTATCTATCTATCTATCTATCATCTATCTATCTATATCTATTCCTGGATGGCTCTTTGTCAGGAGGACTTTGATTATGTTTTCTTTCCCTGATGAAGGGAGTTGGATTGGATGGCCTTAAGTATTTTCTGTTGGTCATGGGGGTTCTGTGTGGGAAGATTGCCCCGATTCTGTCGTTCGTGGGGTTCAGAATGCTCTTTGATTGTAGGTGAACTGTGAATCCCACTGACTACAACTCCCAAATGTCAAGGTCTATTTCCCCCAAACTCCATCTGTGTTCATATCTGGGTGTATTGAGTGCCTGTGCCAAGTTAGGTCCAGATCCATCATTGTTTGAGTCCACAGTGCTCTCTGGATGAAGGTGAACTACAACTCCCAAACTCAAGGTCAATGCCTACCAAACCCTTCCAGTATTTTCTGTTGGTCAAGGGAGTTCTGTGTGCCAAGTTTGGTTCAATTCCATTGTTGCTGGAGTTCGGAATGCTCTTTGATTGTAGGTGATCTATAAATCCCAGCAACTACAACTCCCAAATGACAAAATCAATGTTTTTGGGTGAAGGACGTATTAGATTATTAGATGTCTTGTGTCCAAATTTGGTGTCCATTCGTCCAGTGGTTTTTGAGTTCTGTTAATCCCACAAACGAACATTACATTTTTATTTATATAGATTATTATTATTGCAAAGTCTGGCTGGCCATCTGTTGGGGGTGATTTGAAGGTGCGTTTCCTTGACTCTTGGAACGCTGCCCTCTCTGCCGTCGCCAACGGCGAGGACTGCAAACAGACGAGGATTCCCTCTTGGAACCTGCTCTCGAGGCGGTGCCAGCCACTCGGACTGTACCAGAGTGCAAGCAAAATAGGGGGCGCTTTATTATGCTATGCGTGAATAAGAGAGTGGGAAGAGACCCAATTCAATTGGCACGGCTTGAAAAAGAGCGCTTTCTCAGAGGGCTACGGATTGGAAGCTGAAATGAGGTAGACGACGCTCGGTCTTCCCTTGCGGAGGGCACAAATGGTAGGGTCCGGATTTGAATGAAACGGCCGCCGGCACCTCCCCCTCCCTCTCTCCTTTTACCCCTCCCGCTGTTTGGCGGCGGCGCTGGGCGTGGCATGTGGGCGGGGCGAGGCGAGGCCCGGCCCCTCCCCGGCGGGAGGGACAGCCAGGATTGGGTGCCCGAGGCGGCGCGCGCTGAGGGAAAGGGCCAGGGACAGGCGCCCGCGCGGCAGAGGTTGGTGAGTAGCCAGCGAGGGAGGATGCCTGCTTCGTCGTCTCCTCCTCCCTATTAGAAGTTAGGTGGGAAAGGGTCTCAATTCCTGCATTGCTGTGGGAAGTGGGTGGCAAAGACCTGTGTGTCTTTTGTGACACTGTCATTCAGTTTGACCTGAGGTTAAATCAGGCATGGGCAAACTTGGGCCCTCCAGGTGTTTTGGACTTCAACACCCACCATTCCTAACAGCCTCAGGCCCTTTCCTTTCCTTTTCCCCCTCAGCTGCTTAAAGGAAAGGGCCTGAGGCTGTTAGGAATGGTGGGAGTTGAAGTCCAAAACACCTGGAGGGCCCAAGTTTGCCTATACCTGTGTTAAGCCAACCCCTTAGAAGAGTTTTATAATGTACTAGCTGTATTGTCGAAGGCTTTCATGGCTGGAATCACTAGGTTCTTGTAGGTTTTTTCGGGCTATAGGGCCATGTTCTAGAGGCATTCCTCCTGACGTTTCGCCTGCATCTATGGCAAGCTTTCTCAGAGGTAGTGAGGTCTGTTGGAAATAGGACAATGGGTTTATATATCTGTGGAATGGCTGGGGTGGGGCAAAGAGCTCTTCTCTGCTGGAGCTAGGTGTGAATGTTTCAACTGACTACCTTCATTAGCATCTGAAGGCCTGGCTGAGCCTGGGAAAATCCCCTGTTGAGAGGTGTTAAGATGTGCCTGGTTGTTTCCTCTCTGCTGTTTTGCTGTTGTAATTTGCTGTGTCAGACTACACAGAGAAGCCATTGAAATCCACAAGCATGTGGACAATTTCAACAGAAAGGAAGATATATAAACTCATTGTCCTAATTCCAACAGACCTCACTACCTCTGAGGATGCTTGCCATAGATGCAGGCGAAACGTCAGGAGAAATGCCTCTAGAACATGGCCCTATAGCCCGAAAAAACCCACAAGACCTAATGTACTAGCTGTTCCCTGCCACGCGTTGCTGTGGCCCAATCCACTCCAAGTGGCCAGATACTGGTCAAAGGACATTTAATCAACTACCAAACTCACAATTTTTGTATTTTGTCTGTTTTTTTTTTTTTTTTTTTTTTTGCTGTGTTCTGTTAGAAATGTAATATAATCGACTGGTTGCACTGACATGATAAATAAAATAAATAGTCTGGTGATCTGGAAAATAAAGTAACGAGAAAGTGCTGGTTTCTGATATATGTAATTTCTTTATGCTTGTGGGTAAACAGCATTTCTTGCTGTTTCCTTGTCAGTGTTGATGCGGAGATTGCCTGGTTTGCCTACTCTGGAACACGCAACATATTATTGTTCTTCTTTAGGGGTCCCTTTCAAATCTATGATACTACATCTCTCTGTGTGAATCATATATATCTATCTATACCTATGGCTGGATGGCTCTTTATCAGCAGGACTTTGATTACGTTTTTTTGCCCAGATGAAGAGAGTTGGATTGGATGGCCTTAAGTATTTTCTGTTGGTCATGGGGTTCTGTGTGGGAAGTTTGCCCCGATTATGTCATTCGTGAGGTTCAGAATCCTCTTTGATTGTAGGTGAACTGTAAATTCCAGTGACTACAACTCTCAAATGTCAAGGTCTATTTCCCCCAAACACCATCTGTGTTCATATTTGGGCATATTGAGTGCTTGTGCCAAGTTTGGTCCAGATCCATTGTTTGAGTCCACAGTGCTCTCTAGTTATAGGTGAACTACAACTCCCAAATTCAAGGTCAATGCCCACCAAACCCTTCCAATCTTTTCTGTTGGTTATGGGAGTTCTGTGTGCCAAGTTTGGTTCAATTCCATCGTTGATGGAGTTCAGAATGCTCTTTGATTGTAGGTGAACTATAAATCCCAGCAGCTACAACTGCCAAATGACAAAATCATAATTTTTTGAGTGATGGTCACTCCTTGTGTTGTGAGACGTTTTGTTGCCAAATTTGGTGTGATTTCGTTCATTGGCTCTTTTGTTTTTAAGGTACTAATTATGCACAGAGCATTTTATATATATATATATATATATATATATATATATATATATATATATATATATATAAATAAAGTTAATATGGTGCCCCTACTTTGCGGATTTTCACTTATCTCACTGGTGGTCCTGGAACGGAACCCCCACGATAAGTGAGGGAACACTGTATCCCTATCCCTACAAAATTCATGGGGTCACCATAAGTCCACAGATGACTTGAAGGTAGGCTTTAGAAATTCAGCTGGTGAAAGCCGTGGCTCTGCACCTGAAAGCTGGAAATCTTCCTGCCTATTGTCCAAAAGTGGAAAAAACAGTAAGGTGGACACTTGTTTCACAAGTGAGTGGGTAATACTTGTGGCACTTCTAAAATGCATTTTCCTTTAAAACCTCTGGTTTCCGAACCTTGAGAGCAAGGGAGGGGTTTGGTTTAAGTCAGGGATTGATGTTTCCTTTGTTAATGAAGATGCTTCTTGTGCTGCTGTAAGGGCACTTCTTTTGCAGATGAGAGCAAAGCAGATGAGAGAAATTCACTCGAGTTGCTCTACTGAAAGGGGCTTGAAGTGGGCTTTCTGGGAATTGGTGGACAGGAGCCTCTCACTTATTTCTGTATGTTTTGATGTTTGTACCTTGTTTGTCTAGTTTGATGCATTTGGAAGAAAACCAACCAATCCTAGTTTTTTTAAAAAAGGTCTGTTTAATTCCCTTGAATTTGCAGAATCTGCACATTGATTTCTTTAATGAAAATTGTAGTTTGAGCAGATTGTTCAAAGATTGCTTAGGAAATACCGTGACAAAGAATGCAGACTTTAAGAAGGTATTTAAAGGGCTGTTTTACACATGATAAATTTTCTATTTGGATATCTATCCAGTGATGTAAAACAGGGGCTTTCTTTTCTTGGGGATAGAGTGTGACGGAAGTACTGTACATTAAAGACTGTTTTGCGTAAATTAAATTTCACATATTAATTTATGTGAAACAGTCTTTAATGTTCTGACTGGGGAGGTCTTTTCACTATTACCTTATTGCAGGAAGATTCTGCTAGCATTAACATCATCGTAAAGTAACATAGCGGTGTTTGTGTCCAGCTGGGGTAGAATTCAAAGACATAGCCATGTCAGTCTGGAATATCGGTCTGGAAAGAGATCTTGTAGGACTTTAGAAACTATCTGAAAGAATTAGGAAGTTATGCTACCAGCTTTGCTCTCTCAATCTATAAGTTTAAGTCAAAAGGGGAAGATGCTTGTTAGGAATTGGCAGAATGTAACAACAGAAGTTTGTGACTGATTTAGGAAAGACACACTTGAGAGAAAACTTTGACAATATGGAATGACAATTGTTTTGTCATCTTAGGGATTGCCAGTCTATTTTCACTTTGGATACTTTAATGATTTGGTATTTGTAGCTGGTTCTGCTGTTTATCCCTTTAATGGACAGGGGATGGTTTTGGGTGAACTTTTGGACAGCAATATCCTGGACAGTTTTATTAAGTATGCTTTGATATATATATTCTTTCTGAAATTTATTTTTTATACGTTGTTTCACAATATATTTGCATTGTGCAGTATGTACATTTGATAAAGTAAGCTCAGTAAAGCAGGTGAGTAATTTTCAAAGAAGTAGCCGCGTTAGTCTCAATAGAGTGTGGTGCTTAGGCCAAAACTAAGCAACTGCACAATGGACTTTCTAAACACCGTGTCCTATTGAAAAGGCACAGATCATTACATGTACTTCCATGCTTCTGGCTTTCATCCAGAACACACTACAAAATGTATTGCTTACAGCCAAGCCCTCGGATACAACTGCACCTGTTCAGATCCACAAGACAGAGGCTAAGAATGATTGGGTTTGCAACAGGTTTTGTCGGGCCCTGCTGCAGGAGAGACCGAGGGTGCGGGTGGGGGCTTGAACATTTGCCACCTACCTTTGTTGCCTTGCTCGGCTCTGGGCTTGCCCACGAGGAGACCTGTAGCCACACCTTCATTCCAGCCAGCTGACCCAGCAGCCTGCAAGGAGGGAACATAAAAGGACAGCCCAAGAGGCCTGGGAGAGCTTTGTTGGGCCCTTCTGCAAGAGAGACCCAGGGGCTTGAGCATTTGCCATTCAGCTTTGCTGCCTTACTCAGCTCTGGGCTTACTCACAAGAAGACTTGTGGCTGCAACCCGATTCCATAGTGGGTTCACTCCATTCCACAGGCAACAGTGTTTGAGTGTATTTACCTAAAGGTGAGTAACCGGGACAGGATAGGGATCCTGTTGGTGTACCGCTCACCCCGTTGCTCAACATTATCCCTTTCTGAGCTAGCTGGGGTGGTCTTGGGGTTGGCGTTGGAGATTCAGCAGCTAATAGTTCTTCATGGCCTCCATGACAACCATGGATGTGTCCCAAGTGGTGTCTTGCTCTACCCATGCTGCTGGACACACACTGGACCTTGTTTTCTGTGCAGGATTGTGATTGTGGTGTGTAGGAATTTGTCACAGTTCTGTTGTCCATGGACTGATCACTGCCTGGTTAGGTTTAGACTTGCTGGGACTCCAAACCTCAGCAGGGGTGGGGGACTGAATAAAATGGTCTGCCCCAGGAGGCTTATGGATCTGAATGGTTTCATGATGACTCTTGCGGATTTTAATGTCACTCTGTCAAAGCACTGGCTGACCTCTGGAATGGGTATATCGCCAGAGCAGTGGACACTATTGCTCTTGAATGTTCCCTCTCACGGAGCAGAACCAAACCAGCCCCTTGGTCCCTGGTTCCAGCTATAGGCAGTATCCAGGGCAAACTAGAGGGATGTCAAACTGCTATAATTCTTCAGTATGAATTGTCTCTCAATATACAGGGTGAGACAGCATAACTTCCTTTTTTCAAAACTTAATAAAACCCATTGTATGAATCAGATTTTTTTTTATCATGTAGGCGCATACCTAAAGTTTTGTTTTACGTAGTTTTGAAGATCAAATTAGGTAGGTGACGCCCCCCCATTCTCCATTCTCCATACACTGAGTAAACTGATTTCTAGCATCATGACTCTTACCAGCATAGCAGGTATTCTGTTGGCAATTTCTTCCTGGATGTTGGTCTTCAAATCTTGTAGGCTCCTTGGATGGTTCACATAAACATGGGATTTCAAAAAACCCCATAGAAAAAAATCACAAGGGCCAAATCTGGAGAGCGGGCCGGCCACTCCAAATCCACTCGAAAAGTAGGCCTCAACGGCAAAAGCACGCTCCTCACTATTCCAACGCATGATGGCGACTGAACTGTGTCAGGACAAAACTTTATACTCCCGCCTCTCGAATGAGACCACTAGCGCTCTGCTACATCTTCCACCGACTGAATGGTGCACATTTTAAAAAAGGAAGTTATGCTGCTGCACTCTGTAGAATTTTGAATCCAGGGAAACTGACTTTTGATAATTAGATTTATTGCATTCATACATCAACGCTAACTGACCATTGTAAAGATCTGAAATACTTGTTTTACCTTGCCAAGTGCTTTGGTAATTGAGGGCATATTTCTGGATCATATTACGTATAAATATGCTTTATATCTGAGCCATTAAAAACCAATTTGCTTTAAAGTTGCTGCCACACTCCTTTTTATCTCCCTCCCTTCCCCCTTTTTTAAGGCAAGTGAATTTCCTTTTATAAAAAACCCTTTTTTTACACTTAAATGATAAATCATTGTATTGTACTTTAGCAACATTGCTCTGATTTTGTAAGAAGGAATGCCATGTAAACCGATGGCTCTAATCCAGAGGCAATAATTTCTGTATTGCAAGTACTGTGTAGGCCTTAAAGATGATGTACTACTGTTCATAGTGTCTCCAGTGTTTTATTGCTGTGAAGTTTAGGTACAAGGTGGGACTAAACAATAACTGTACAATGTAATAGAAAAGCATAGATCTTATGTTTACTTTCTTGAGTCATTTCATCACTAATACTTTCTGTACTGCTTAATGACTTTGTTCCTCACAGCTTGTTTTGTTCAGGTTTCTTGGATTGGTTCACTACTTGTACTTGAACTGCTACAGGTAGTTGCTGACTCTGTGGCTCTTAGCATGAGGTAGTTGAAGAATTGCATATTATTCATGATGATATCAATGATTTCCCATGCTTGTTATTTGCTGTTATGAATATCATAACTTTGTGTATTGGCTCATGTATTTATTTTATTCTTTTAGCAGCATACGGCCTTTTTGAAAAATAAAGTCCATATTTTTTTGCAAGCAGCATTTAAAATACTATATCTTTTTGAAGCAAAATGTGCAGACTGCTATACCACATGCTACCCAGGCATGTGGACTGTAACATTTTGCCCATGTAAGAAGTGTGAAAAAAATTAAAAGCAAAAAAACTCCAAAGTTCATTTTTTCAGTTGAGGACTCAAGACAGTTAACATAAGTTTAAATCATACAACTAGCAAAATTCATATTATATAAAAGTTTTTTTAAAATAAAATTGAATAGCATGCTTGTGGAAGAAAAATTACAAATATAACTAATGCAGCACAGTATGAAAGGTCCTTTGCCATGAGCTATCAACCCTCAAAGATCTGCCGAAAGAAATGGTCTCAACTTGCCCATAGAAAGCTAGCTAAGAGATACTCTGACCTTTCTAAGAAAGGAGTTCCAGAGCCGGTGAGTATCTCTTCATAGAACCACGGGCCATCTAATCCAACCCCCTTTTATCCATTTAAAAGCCTCCAAAGTAGAAGCTTTGGCAAAGAGTTCAACTGTTGAACAGTTATGAGGATCAGGAAATTCTTTCTAATTTTCAGGTGAAATCTCTTTTCCTGTTATTTGAACCAATTGCTCCAAGTTCTAGTCTCCAGGTGAACATCCTTTGGATTTGCTTAACCAATTTCTAATCCACCAAACAGTCATATTTTCTAGTTCACGTTAAGAAAGCATTCTCCCATGTTTCCGCCAAATGTCCCTCTGGGTGTGGTGGGCCAGAGAAGAGGGCCTCTACAGAAGATCTCAAAACTTCTGGCATGTTCACATGGGGAATACATCTCTCCAGACATTTTGGACCTGAGTCGTATAGGGCGGCGTAAGTCATAACCAGTACTCGGACTTTTCCTGGAAACAGACTAGAAGACAGTGGGGCTTTGGTAACAAGGGAGTTGTGTTCTCCTTGTAGCCAGGCTCAGTTAGCAATCTGGCTACAGCTTTTTACCTCAAGTTTCCAAACGCTCTCCAGCAGCCGCACAAAAAGTGTATTGTGTATTTAGATTTAAAATTTAACTCAATTCTGAAAATACTTAATATTTCAATAATATATGATCACGCAGTATGGGAGACCCTTTGTGGGAGCAACCTCCACTTGCTTCTGCTCCTTGTACATCTACAAAGAAACTAATGCTACCAGCATTGCAATGGATGGCAGCCAACAACAGTTATAAATTTGAAGCGTACCTATTGCAAATGGACAACTCAGAACTCTCTCTACTGTTTGTCAGGTTCCCTTTTAAACTAGAACTGTTACAATCTCTGATCTGGAACAAATGATTCTAACTGTTATTAAGGTGTATCGTTTATTTTATTACTATCGTGTTAATCTTCTGGACAGTGTTGTGGTATTACATGTTCTGAGAGGAACATGTAATACCACAACATTGACAGAACACTTCTTAGCTAATCTCATGTAATTATGCCTCATATTTCCACAGGAATCTTGAGGTTCTGACCTTGCCACGCTGTTATATACCAAGACATCAATACAGCAACCATGCCAATTCTGAGAAGCAGCCTCGTGTCTTCAAATAGTAGTGGTAGTGATATTTCAGTTATCCCTATAATGACTTTTTCAAATGAAACAGTATCTTCACAAAAGAGTTCAACAAGTCTAGCTGAGAAGAATGGCTATCAGGACTCTGTTTACCTAAATGCTGCCAACATTTTTCAAGGCATTCATAATGAAAAACCTCAAGATAAAATATTGGTCAAGTATGGGAATGGGCCATTGCCACCTCTTCCAGATTTCAAAGATGAACACTTTCAACGTTTGTCCTATGAATTGGCTTTCAGTGCTCTAAAATGTAAGTACAAACTTGTCTTCTTCCCTTGGGGAATGAATAATGTAAGATATAGCAAACTCACTTGTTTCTTTGGAAATACATGCTTTACAGTTTTATCTCGTTGAAGGCTGAACAAATTGTGGAATTCCAGTTGTTGCTGTTGTATTTAATGTCCTTCCCCGTTGGATATATGACCTGGAGTTTATGGAAATTGCAGTCCAAAACATTTGGCAAGTCACAGTTACCCATATCTGCTTGCTGACAAAGACTGATTTAGGCAAGAAGAGATGCTAAGATCAGTCTGCAGTTACTAGATGTTTGGGAGGCTTCTCCCTACTTTTCAGTTAATGAAACACAGTGAGAGTAATCTTCCGGATGCCTTTCCCTATCTAGCTTTCTTCACTGTGCTAAAAGGCTTGGAGGTGAAAGGGGAACACAGATAGTTGTGTGCACCTAACTTAAAGTAAGAATTCTTGGTTTTTTTTTTTAGCTGTATTAATATCCAGGAGCAGTGTTTGGCTGACTGTAAACACAGTTTGGTTAGTGTGTTATTCAGGTGTCACTGCAGCTTGTCTCGGGACTGGAATGAACAGTATTTAATGAAACTTGTGCTATTACCCCATACATAGATATCCCATGTTGGAAAGTAAATAATATTTTTTGCAATCTCACAGCTAATTTTAATTGTTCAGAGTATTGGAGATGGGAGCACTCTGCTTATTATACTATATACAGTATGAGGACATATTCATGAACCAAGAGGAAACATGGCTCTGACAAGGTTTGGAGTACAGTTGAGGCCTTTTTACTTCTGTGCCAATATTCCATCCCTGAGGTCCACATCTCTCCTTTTTCTTCTTAAAGAGAAAGGTTGTGCACACTAGAAGGTATTACTTATATTGGTTCTCAACCTGTGAGTCCCCAGGTGTTTTGGCTTACCAGACATCCCCTCCAGTTTACCAGCTGTTAGGCTTTCTGGGAGTTGAATACCAAAACATCTGGAGACCACACAGGTTGAGAACCACTGACTTAGAAGTTAGATGTTACCTATGGCAGGCGTGCTGCTCAGAACACCTCTGCCTGAAACTTATGGCAATGTCATTCCACTAAAATGTTATCTCTGAGGGGTGTGCCTCTGTTAGAAAATCACTATTTCTACCTTATAATTGGAGTTCTTTATTCTCCAACTGGATAGAATGCTTAATGGGAGAAAGCTTTCAGAAGATAGCTGCAGAATAATAATTTTAGTTTTATTTTTATACCCCACCTCCATCTTCCCAAAGGGACTTGAGGCGGCTTACATGGAGTCAAACTCGACAGAACAGTTAAAACATAATACATTAAAATGCATATCAACAAAAGCAATATAACTAAATAAAAACAACCTTAAACTATATATAAAACGAGCCTCAAAATAAAACAACCAATAGCAAAATTTAATATCTCTTCATGGGTGGGACGACTGGTGCCACAGTATTAAAGGATAGAGCTAATGAGTATCTGTAATGACAGATGTAATAAAAAGTTTGCCAAAAAGTAGAAAGAACATTATCTGCCCTTCTATTGTTCAGGGGAGATAACAGAAATCTGGCCATAACTTTACAGTGGCTAGCACTGCCATGTAATAAATACAGCAATAACAAACCATATATTTCCTGAGCACAGTGCCAAGCGCAGTCCTAATCTCATCCTGAAGATATTCCTGGTATGGTGAAAATAATTAGTTGGTCCTTTTTTTTTGTCAAACTTGTATAAGACATTTATACAACTTCATTCTGAAAGATGTAGGATGCAGGGACAATGAAAGGCACATAGAAGATTCAAACCACAGGTATCTTGGCCACAAATGTAATTAAATTTGAATACATTAGTGTATGTGTACATGTGAAAATTTAGAAATAATTAGTTAATTAGATTTCCCAGAAAGGAAAACAACTAATTTTGATCCAATTAGCACCCAATAAAATAGCCTGTTTAATTTGGAAATCTGTTTAATTTGCAGCCCATCCCCAGATCCTCCTACATTAATAGTGCCCTCAATTACAATTAATGTGTGATAGGGGTGATCAGTTGTATCAGAAATGCACAAGATGAGTGAGGGACTTCTTGTTTTTGTGACCCTTGTGCGCGTATGATCCCAACGCATGCAATTTCTGCATCAAATGAAAGCCAAGGCCAAATGCAGGTGTCACTCTCAATTAACTTTCCAATTCCCACCAGATCCTATTTCAATACTTAATCAGTTCACTTTCAGTTAATTAGCTATATTCCTTATTCATCATTACCTTCATGTATCAAAGGCATAATTAAATAAAGTGGGGTCAAAGCAGCAAAGGCTGAAGTGTGACCTACTCAGAATTGTGATCCATAGTCTGATGGCGGTCCATGAGCCATTGGCTTCCTCTTTACAGCATGTTTCCAGGAGAGGACAAAACAGTTTTAGTATTTTTTAAATTGTTCCCTGGTGTGTTGTTTTAAAAATGCCCTTGAGATAACTGAAGAAACACTGCCATAGATGCAGGTGAAATGTCAGGAGAGAATGCCTCTAGAACATGGCCATATAGCCCGAAAAAACATACAACAACCCAGTGATTCCAGCCATGAAAGCCTTCGACAATATAATATTTTTAAAAATAAAGTATCAATAGACCTCATCAGGGCTGTATCTATTCAGCAGAATCATAGCACTTTGATACCCTATAACTGCCAAGAATATTCTGTGAAATTCTGAGATTTGTAGATTTTTTAGATATTTACCTTTCTCTGTCAAGGAGCTCAGGTGCCAAAACAAAATATAGATCCCAGGATTCTGCAGGATGGAGCTATGGCAGTTAAAGTGATGTTAAATTGCTATATTGTGTGGATCAGCTTAATATCCAGTTCTCTGGTAATAGATTCTTTGGGCTTCATGGACTGAGGCTTAGTGTGCACACCCCAAATTTGTAAGTGGGGAAAATAAAATAAAGTGCAACTAAAATAATAAAAAAAAACCCGTGGTCCACATATTGCAAGCATATTAAGAGAACTGGTGCATGTTTTGCACAATTTTTGCACAACATATTAAGAGAACCGGTGCATGTTTTGCACAATTTATTTACAATCAATTGTTTTCCCTAGTAGAAAAGTTGATTTAACCTGCTCTTTGTTCTGTGGCATGTTTTCCTCAAACATTTGTTGAAAAGAGCAGTGGTATATATCTTTCGCAAAGGTGACATGCCTCTTTTCAATAGACTTACGTAGGGCTGTTGATGTCACCTTTCTTTTGAATCCCAGAAGGTCAACCATTGCTGAAAGGCTGTTCAGGCACTGGGATTTTAAGCAGGACAGGAAGGTTGGGTGAAAAATGGGGGAGTTACCCTGGCAGCTTGGTGAACTGAGATAAGTATGTCTGAACCGGTATGCATAATGTGAAAAGAAGCTGTCAAGAGTCCATGGGAACTACTGAAAATATGGCAACAACAGCTTGTCTCACTACTTCTGTCCTGCAATGATAAGCCATTTGCATGGGTTAATCAGACAGAAAGTGGCGCTTAAACAAAGGACAATACATGTTGCTAGTCCATAAATCTGAAAGTTTGATGTATGCAATTGCTGTGCTTTCTGATTTCTGTTAACATAGTTATTATCAATCAAAGTATTTGAGAGTCAAGGTATCATTGAAAGGTATCATATGAACAAGCAATGAGAACAAGATCTTTTGATGGTTGCGTATCAGGCAAAAACTGGCAAGCAATGCTGTATCTGTGTATGTGTCCTCATCCTACCCTGGGCAAATCATTATTTTTGATCAGGATGGTATATGCCAGTATATATTTTTTTCCATGTCAGAAGCAACTTGAGAAACTGCAGGTCGCTTCTGGCGTGAGAGAATTGGCCATCTGCAAGTACATTACCCAGGGGATGCCTGGATATTTTACCAGCCTGTGGGAGGCTTCTCTCATGTCCCCGCGTGGGAAGCTGGATCGGACAGATGGGAGCTTACCCCGTCTCTTGGATTCGAAGCACCCACCTTTAGGTCTGGAGTCCAGCCAGCATAAGGGTTACCATGGCTCCCTGTCAGGATATTAATAAATGGATAGATGTATTGTCGAAGGCTTTCATGGCTGGAATCACTGGGTTGTTGTAGGTTTTTTCGGGCTATATGGCCATGGTCTAGAGGCATTGTCTCCTGATGTTTCGCCTGCATCTATGGCAAGCATCCTCAGAGGTAGTGAGGTCTGTTGGAACTAGGAAAAAGGGTTTATATATCTGTGGAATGACCAGGGTGGGACAAAGGACTCTTGTCTGCTGGAGCTAGGTGTGAATGTTTCAACTGACCATCTTGATTAGCATATAATGGTCTGACAGTGCCTGGAGCAAACTTTTGTTGAGAGGTGATTAGATGTCCTTGTTTGTTTCCTCTATGTTGTTGTGCTGTTGTAATTTTAAAGTTTTTTAATATTGGTAGCCAGATTTTGGATAGATTCCAATACTTTTTTGTGTGTTCCTGCTTTGTGCACTCCTGCTTTTTCTTTCCAGGTTCTTGATGATGTAGCTTGCCAAAAATAATAGATCAGTGGTAATCTGCACATTCAAGATTTGATACTTGAAGATAAAATAATTCTATTACTATCAATTGTCTTTTTGGAACATGTTAATTTAGATTGTTTTTGTACATACAGCTGGTCCTCAGTATCCACAGATTCTGTAACCACAGATTCAACTACCCATTAATTGAAAATATTCAAAATAATTCCAAAAAGCAAATCTTGGTTTTTCCATTTTATATGATGGTCCTCAATTACTATTCCACTGTATATAGCAGGACAGATTTTGCTATCCACAGGAAGGAATTTTGGAACAAAACCCTAGTGGATATCAAGAGTCCAGTGTATTTCTAATGTTATCTGTCAATGAAGTCAATGTACAGTAAACCTTGTGATGATGCCATGTTTCATTCTGTAAGCTATATTTGTTTCTTGTCATGTTTGTGGAAAAACTGCATCTTTTCTTGGGGGAATATAAGACTTTTCTTCTGCTTATTACCAAGAAACAGTGTTTGGCTGACAGCTTCTTTTGTTTCTCTGTGCTGCTTTTTGTGTATTCTGATGTTCACATACGGATATCAAAACTCTCAAAGATTGTGTACACTAAACAACTCAGTGGTTCTCCATAGGTTTTTTATTTCAACTCCCTGAAGTCCTAGCCCGTATGACCAGAAGTCAGGAATTCAGGGTAATTATATCTTAAATTTCTGGAGGACTACAGTTTGGGAACCGCTGCCCCACTCTAAATCACAAGCAAAGATCAATGAGGAGGCGGAGACATTTAAAAGCTTTTGCTTTCCTAAAACTCTCATCAGTGTCTTGAAATAACTAATTGTGCTTAAAGTTTTAAGCTTTAAAATAAAGTCATCTTGACTTGTATTTCAATTGCTGGCTTATTTTAATTATTACATTTGGAAGATCTGTGACCAACTGCAAATGAAAACAACTGGACAGGACAAAAACAGAGCGGAGTTTTTTGTAGCTTGTTTCCGCTTGAGCATGTTGTATGAAACGATGGTTCAGGCTGAGCTCCCCAGAACCCCCATGTCGTTTGTTTTTTCCAGGAAAGAAATTACTTATACCCCAAAACATCCCTAGAAAAATTGCACCTTTCGATGGTATGATTCTATAAAATGAAATGTGAGATTCCTTATGTTGTTTAGTAAATATATGGTATATCTCCCCCCCAAGCAGTGTTTTTTTTTAAATTAGAGCTGGGAGTAGCCCAATTGTTTCTGATTCCAAATGATTTTCAAAGCCCAACAGCTTTTCGTATCCCTTTGCTACACTGTGGCTTTTCATTATATGTTTATATTAATAATACGTGTCCGTGGAATATTTACATAATTGCTACTTCTTCGAGCAACAGCAAGGATATCCCTCTGGGCAGCTAAACCAGGAAATCCCAATTGGATGGCCCCCCCGCGAGGGTCTTCCTCCAGGGGCAAACCAAGAATGGGCAACCTGGAAGTCCCTGAATAGACTCAGAAGCAGAGTGGGCAGAACAAAAGATAACCTGGCAAAATGGCACTACCTCAAAGAATCCCATACCTTGTGTGACCGTGGAGCAGAACAGACAACTCTGCATCTGTATGCTTGTCCATTGTGCCCTGCCTCATACACAGAGGAGAAATTGTTGGAGGCTACAGACAATGCTGTTGCTGTTGCCCGTTTTTGGTCAAAAGATATTTATTTATTTATTTACCTTACTTATATACCGCTGTTCTCAGCCCGAAGGCGACTCACAGCGGTTCACAACAAATACGAACAACAAATTTAGCCACCTGCACATCTTCTATTTTTATCAGTTTTATACTAATTTATGCAATGTTTTGGGTATGTAATAAAATAACTTCCTCATTATGCTTTAAATACTGTCCAGTTGTTAAATGTGCATAAACACAATGTGTATATTGTATTATGAAATAATCCCATAGATCTTACTTAAAAGCATGTTTCTATTGTGTATTTTTACTTTCTAGAAATCAGGTCTGTGCACTGGGCTTTCTATACTATGGTGACAAACCTAACACTCGGATGATGTTATATTTCTTGTGTGGAATCTCAAATTCTAACAGATCAACTAATATTTTCAGACTATATCTTTTAAAATTTGCTTTGTTCAAAGCTTGTTAATGCAAACAAACTCTGCAGTAATTTGGATATTTTTGTCACCGTGTTCCTTTCTCTTTTAGATCAAGATGTTCTTGAAAATATACTAATAGACAGTGGCATATACCCAATTCAGTCAATAGTGAGTAATTTGTTCAGCAGTTCTTTACCTTCTATTATACTTTATTAGTACAAATGTGTATTCGTTTTTGTAATATTTTTCATGTCTTACATCTTCCTTCAAGGTATTCTTTTGTATGGATGTTAATAATATACTTGTATGATATATTTTGCTAACTATGTGAGTAATTAAAAAGGGGAATAATTTTTGTTTGCAGGTGTAAATAAAGCTTACTGGAATCTTATCAGTCTTATCTGTTTATTTGAAAATAAGGGTAAAGCTAAAAGGAATGATATATTTTATTCCTGATTTTCAGCTCCTTCAGCATCCACACCAGCATCACCAAATGTGGTCTCGTTCAGATGTTTTGAACATCAACCTATTAGTTTCAGCTAGTCAGCAATGCTGAGGGTTCTAATGTAATTATGTATTTATTATTATTATTTAACATATTTGCATCCTGCCCATCTCACCCTAAAAGGGGACTCAGTGCAGCCTTTCAGCAGGCAGCAATTCGATGTCAATACATATAAATATAAAAATAAATACAATTAAAGCCATACAATTAAACATTAATTATTAAAACATTTATTAAAATCACGTAATTCAGATTGTAGTCCAAGGCCTGTCCAATTGTCAATTCTATTAGTCTGTTATCCTTATTGCACTGTTTACTGGTGGAGAGCACCAGATTAGGGATAGGCTAATTGATACAATCCTAGTTCCACTGATACATAACCATTCAGATGTCATCTTTGTTTGATCACGAGCTAAAGTGCTCAATAGAGGTAGCTCTTTCTGGCAGTGTTGCAAATTAGATTCTTCTAATCTGTTTACCTCTCATTGTTTTGAGATACAGCTCCCATAATCCCTGAATGAAATGTTGTCTAGGGCTGATGGGAGTTGAAGGTGAAGAACATCTGAAGGTTGCATGAGGCATACAGAGCATGAGCAAGAATTAAAACACAATTCTTAGAAACCTAGATACTAGCTATTCTGAGATCCCAAGAACATGTATTAGGATAATAAATGAATTCAATTGACAGATTTACTGCTTAAGACTGCGCTACAAGCCTTCTCCTCATGAAGAAGCTAGGCTCAGCAATCAATATCTTTTTAGTTATAGTTTAAACCAGGGGTCCTCAAACTTAAGACCCGAGGGCCGGATACGGCCCTCCAAGGTCATTTACCCGGCCCTCACTCAGGGTCAACCTAAGTCTGAAACGACTTGAAAGCACACAACAACAACAACAACAATCCTATCTCATCAGCCAAAAGCAGGACCACACTTCCCATTGAAATACTAATAAGTTTATATTTGTTAAAATTGTTCTTCATTTTAATTATTGTATTGTTTTTTCCACTACAAATAAGATGTGGGCAATGTGCATAGGAATTCATTCATGTTTTTTTCACATTATAATCCGGCCCTCCCAACAGTTTGAGGGACTGTGACCTGGCCTCTGTTTAATAGTTTGAGGACCCCTGGTTTAAACAATCTAGTGCTGAGAGTGATGTAATTCATATATTTGATTTGCTGCTTGAGTGGGATGTGTATTTTTAATTGGTCTGCAGGAGCCTTAATGACTGTACTCTCTTAGCAAATCTTTAGTTTTTGTCCCAAGGAAGAAATAGTATGTTTATATGATTGTATGCTTCTTTGAAGCCATTTCTCCATTCTTAATACCAGTTTCAAGACATTATTAATGAGGTTTGGAAGGGTTTTAAACCTAAGGTTTAGTGTTTCACTTACTATTTTTTTGTCTGCTTGACTACTGGTCAAGCAGACAAAAGTAAATAGTTTATGTTAACACTTGAGACAGTTCTACAAAACTGGCTATTAAGTTGGCTTTCTTGGTCCAATAATACTTGAACTTATATTTAATATTCTCCACTATTTGACAGTCTGTTTTTGATTATCTGATTTTTCAGTCCTTTTCTATTATAACTTGAACCCATGCATTCAAAGTGTGGTCTGATCTTTCCACCTATTTTGTGGTTTCCATGACCTTCCATACCTTCTGTGGCCATGTGCAGCATTTTCTCTCAATTGATACTTTTAAAAAGACCATTCCTCATTTCAACAATTTTCACTATTCAACAGTGCTCTGATTCCTAATCTATCAAATAAACAGAGGATGCCTGTAAATGTCTTATTAATATGAGAGTTCCTTGTTACATGGTTGAAGGACAATACATAGAAGGTGCAGTGTTACTAGTTTTAGTGCTTTTGTGTTTTTTCTATGTGAAAACTGTTTTGGATGTTTGTTTTTTTCAGTCAGATGAATTGACTAGTTTAGTAGTTGTGATGTTATATGATCTCCAAGATCGGAAATTTGAAGCGCGTTGTAATATTGATGACGATGAGCCAATACCAGAAGTCCAAGAAGTTGAGCGTTATTTATGCAGGTAAATGGACAGAAAGTATATGTATTCTTTGGTAACGAGTACTAAAAACTATAAAAAACATAGATGATTTCCTTCTATATCTAACAAGGAATACGTAGTACAAATATGCAGTTGTTTATAGCAAACTATATTGGAGAAAAAAAAGCATGATCTAAGATAAATAAATAACCAATTAGCACACGATCATAGATGCAATTGCACAATTTTCACAGTTTGCCTGAGAAGTCTTCTCCATTTGGTTCTCAGTGACACTGTTGCTTTGGAAGAGGGGAAGCTATGGCTGATTTTATTGCTAACTGTACTTCTTGCTGCTTATCAGAAAAGTAGAAGCGCCCGGTGGTACAATGGGTTAAACCCTTGTGCCAGCAGCACTGCTGACCAACCAGTCAGCAGTTTGAATCCAGGGAGAGTGGGTTGACCTCCCTCTGTCAGCTCCAGCTCCCCATGTGGGGACACGAGAGAAACCTCCCAAAAGGATGGTAAAACATGAAAACATCCGGGCATCCCCGGGGCAATGTCATTGCAGACGGCCAATCCTCTCACACCAGAAGCAATTTGCAGTTTCTCAAGTTGCTCCTGACACATACACACACAAATCCCAGGCCCTCCTCTCGGTCCCACCTCCGTCACAAGCATGGTTGGTGGGAACGAGAGAGAGGGCCTTCTCGGTGGTGGCCCCCCGCCTCTGGAACGCCTTTCCAAGGGAAATAAGACAGGCCCCATCCCTCCCCTCCTTTCGTAAGTGCTTGAATACCTGGTGGTTTCAACAAGCCTTCGAAAATGACCAGTTCTAACTCAGTCTTATACATTGTCAAATATGGCCTTATTCTTCCTACCAGTTACCCAGATCACTTCCTCTAATTGGCCCCGGAATGAACAGCCACAGACCCGTACCTAATATTATTGCCGCCTGCCATAGCATTGCACTTAATTCCCGGCCCCCCTAGAATTTTTGAGCTTGCACAAATCTTGGCCCGGCCTTTTAAATTTTTTAATTGCCTTGAACAGGCAGGATTACTTTCAATATATATGTGTTATGGCGACAATTTTTATGCTTATATTGTTTTGTTAATCTTATGGTTATGTTGTTTTACTTTGTATGTTTTGTGATGTTACCTGGGAACTGCTCTGAGTCCCCTTGGGGAGATAGAGCGGTATATAAATAAAGTATTATTATTATTATTATTATTATTATTGTTATTATTATTATTAATCAGAAAAATGTTGGTTTTGGGCAGAAAAAAGGGCTTTATGGGTATAGTAGTTGCAGTAGGAAGAATGTTTCCTTTGTAGAGATTGGAGTAATGGTCAGCAAAAGAAGACCAACAAGTCTTCATGGCAGTAGTGCAGAGGTAACAATACCTGTATTTATCTGAAGCCCAAGTAAACAGCTAGGTGGCAGCAAAATGACAACTGTTAGATGTAGAAGTGGCATTAATGAGGGAGCCTGTTCGGATTTGATCAGAAATGAGAATGATTTTGGGATATTAACATTTATATATAATTAAATAAATGAATTTAGATTTTATATTTACAGATTTAAATTTTAGGAATGTAACATTTAAATAAGGTAAAGGTAAAGGTAGTCCCCTGACATTAAGTCCAGTCATGTCTGACTCTGGGGTGTGGTGCTCATCTCCATTTCTAAGCCGAAGAGCCAGCGTTGTCCGTAGACACCTCCAAGGTCATGTGGCCGGCATGACTGCATGGAGCGCCGTTACCTTCCCGCCAGAGCGGTACCTATTGATCTACTCACATTTGCATGTTTTCGAACTGCTAGGTTGGCAAAAGCTAGGGCTGACAGCAGAAGCTCACACCGCTCCCTGGAATCGAACCTGCGACCTTTCGATTAACAAGCTCAGCAGCTCAGTGCTTTAACCCACTGCGCCACCGGGGGCTCCTAACATTTAAATAAATACTTCAAATATTTTTGATTTTGAAGGCATTTAAAACGTAAATTATTTCAACTTCAAATGCAAAGCTGTGTAGTGTATATATGGAACTATTGCAGAGGGATATACTTCTAAATAGGCAGTAGAACCCCTCTCCACTATACTCAGCCTTGTGAAAAGGGAGAATTGTATAGAGAGTAAGAAGAGAAATATTAGGACTGTTTTTATTCAGGAATTGAAAAGGGCGTACAAATTGATCTTAAGAAGAGACGGTCCATCTTCCTTGCCACAATTCTGTAGCCCGCTGATACTGAGCAAAGTAGTTACTACTAGCTAGTACCTTGCTAGTCATTGGGTGTTACAAAGGCATTGAGAGAACAGCTAAGAATATGAAGAGGAGTCATGGAGCAACATTAGATGAAACCCATCATTGGCCTGCTTGAATATTCTTGAAGCAAATTCTTCATTCTTACAGCTAAAGCACATTTTGGTGTAGTTTTATGTCTGCACCAGATTGATCATCACAACACATTATTCAAATGTCAGTTTAAATATGTGTATGCCATGATGCCATGGGCATGTTCTCTATTAAATTCCAAGGTTAATTTTAGCAAAGGAACAGGAACTAATGTTGCAGCAAGAAGAAATAATAATTAGGTCATGTTTGCGAAAATATTTATCATTTTAATTTTCTTAACACCTATAGTTTTAAGACAAAGCTGGCTGCTGCACTAGCAAGATGTAGAATCAAACATGATGCTCTCTCTATCGAACACATTCTTCCAGAAACAATACGGCGACAGGAACAGCGGGCTTCTGTGCTGCCCTTGTATGCATGGGCAAACACACTTAAAGCAAGGTGAGAGCTAGAAGTTTAACGCTTTTGCATATATGTTTCTTCTTACACATGTCTTACTTAAGTATTATGGCAGCTGTCCCCTTCGTATAAATGTGTTAGTGGTGAAAGTGGATTCCATGCGTTTTTTCCGGCAGTGTTCACAATACTATCTGGTTAATTTAGGCATAGCGATTAGCATAGGTGACAGATTCAGCTAGTAGTCCAACTTACCTATCCGAATGTATCTCTCCTTATGAACAATCTAGGACAGTGTTTCTCAAACTGAGGGTCAGGACCCTTGAAGGGGTCACAAGGGGGTGACAGAGGGATCACCAAAGACCAACAGAAAATACAGTATTTTCTATTGGTCATGGGGGTTCTGAGTAGGAAGTTTGGCCCAATTCTATCATTGATGGGGTTCAGAATGCTCTTTGATTGTAGGTGAACTATAAATCCCAGCAACTATAACTCCCAAATGTCAAGGTCTATTTTCCCCATACTCAACCAGTGTTCACATTTGAGCATATTGAGCATTTGTGACAAGTTTGGTCCAGATTCATCGTTGTTTAACTCTATAGTGCTCTTTGGATGTAGGTGAACTACAACTTCAAAACTCAAGGTCAATGCCCACCAAACCCTGCCAGTATTTTCCGTTGGTCATGGGAGCTGTGTGTGCTAGGATTGGTTCAATTCCATCATTGGTGAAGTTCAGAATGCTCTTTGATTTTAGGTGAACTATAAATCCCAACAACTACAACTCCCAAATGACCAAGTCAATCGCCCACAATCTCACCAGTATTCAAATTTGGGTGTATTGGGAATATGTGCCAAATTTGGTTCAGTGAATGAAAATACATCCTGCATATCAGATATTTACTTTACGAGTCATAACAGTGGCAAAATTACAGTTGTGAAGTAGCAATGAAAATAATTTTATGGTTGGGGGTCATCACAACATGAGGAACTGTATTAAGGGGTCACGGCATTAGGAAGGTTGAGAAACATTGATCTAGGACGTTAAGATCTTCTGGAGAGGCCCTGCTCTTGCTCCTGCCTTTTTCGCAGATGCGTCTGGCAGGGGACGAGAGACAGGGCCTTCTCAGCGGTGGCCCCTCTACTGTGGAACACCCTGCCTAGAGATATAAGATTGGCTCCCTCTCTCCTGACTTTTCAAAAAAAGGTGAAAACCTGACTTTTTGAGCAGGCCTTCCCAAATACGGCATAGCTAAACAGAATTATGGAATGATTTGATAATGCGGTATAATAACGATTTGACATGGAGACGCTCATAATAATGTTTTAAGGCTCTGTATGGTTTTTATATTTTTTTATCATATGCTATTGTTTTTTAACAGAATTTCTTGATTGTTTTTATTTGTTATAATTGTTGAGGCATCGAATTGTTGCTAATTTGTGAACCGCTGAGAGGGGCAGTATATAAATATAGTAAATAAATTAAGTAAATTAATAATAATAATAGACATAAATAAATAAATAGTCTGACTTGCCTGTTCCCACCACTGAAACAGATTAATCACTGATAGGTGCTTTGGCATGTACGACATGCTGTTCTTTCAGAAATATTATTGTTATTATTATTATTATTATTACTAGCTGTCCCCGCCACGCATTGCTGTGGCTCACATGTGGGTTCTGTATGGGAGGTTTGTCCCAATTCTATTGGTGGGGTTCAGAATGCTCTGTGATTGTAGGTGAACTATAAATCCCAACAACCACAACTCCCAAATGTCAAGATTCTATTTTCCCCAAACTCTACCAGTGTTCACATTTTGGCATATTGAGTATTTGTGTAGAGTTTGGTTCAGATCCATCATTGTTTGAGTCCACAATGATCTCTGGATGGAGGTGAACTACAACTCCAAAACCAAAGGACATTGTCCACCAAACCCTTCCAGTATGTTGTGTTGGTCATGGGAGAACTGTGTGCCAAGTTTGGTTCAATTCCATCGTTGGTGGGGTTCAGAATGCTGTTTGATTGTAGGTGAACTATAAATCCCAACAACTACAACTCCCAAATGACAAAATCAATTTTTTTGAGTGAAGGACATACATTGGGTTGTTAGGTGTCTTGTGTCCAAATTTGGTGTCAATTCGTACAGTGGTTTTTGAGTTCTGTGAATACCACAAACGAACATTACATTTTTATTTATATAGATTATTATTATTATTATTATTTCTCCTCCCATCTGCCTGATCACTTTCACTGTCTCCATACAAAGATATTTTTCTTTCAATTTTTCTCATTCTCTTGGTGACCTTCAAAGCTGTATCCTTGGCCTTCTACTTTTTTCTTATATTTTCCCCCTAATTGAAACCATCACTACTGTAACTGGATTGGCCAGATTTCAGAGCTCAATCCTAAGTTTCCAGTTTTCATATGTATCTCGTCCCTACTTCGTGAATTTTCAGTTTTCGCGGGTGGTCCTGGAATGTAATACCCGCGATAAGTTAGGAAACACTGTATAAGTTAAAAAGCTCCCTCACTTGATGTATGAAAACATCTGAGAATTTGTACTGGGGCAATCACTAACAACAAAAGATGAAACAAATCAAATGAGAATACTTCTCTTTCAGATACACTTTTTATTATTTTGCAGTAATACTTATTTGGTTATGTTACAGTCTGGAAGAAATTCATAGCTCCTTACAGAAAGAAGGATTCACTCAAGTGGAGTCAATCTCCAATTTTGGTGGTTATTCTTATTGCCTGGATATGCACTGTGAGGATGTACTTATCTTCCCCTCGTTTCTTAAAGAACATCTACTTACTCTGGAACTCTTTACTAACCAAAAGCTACTGTTTCAGGTACGTTAAGTTACAGTGGAAATGGATTACAAACATCTGGTTAGGATTTTATCAACACTCTGCGTATTGCTGGTGTCACATTTCTATCTGGTCTAATTACCTCAAATTCTGCATAAGTAGCTTGGGTAGTACTTTGAAAAATATTCAGTTTTTCTTTGAATTAATATATAAGTAGCTTTCTAGAAAGCTGCATAATTAGTTCTTATTCATAGCCTATGTATAATAATGAGCTTTGTGTTTTCCTGATTGGCTCATTCCTAGTTCTGGGGTGTATATGTATGTGTGTGGGATGTGAGTTTTGGCTTAACAGGTGACCAGGCTTCTTCTGCAGTGGAAAAGTATGTGTGTTGCATACTGACATGTTTCACAATTGTCAGTATCTATATTGACGCTTGCTTGGAACACGGAGCAATTGTTTGAAGGCACTTATGTAGTGAAATCTAAAAAAGAATATGGTGCACTTTTTTGGAGAAATGTGCTTTATCTGACCATCTGAACCTTAGTTGGCCCCTATAAACTAATTGAGGATGTTTTATGTTAAGATTTTATGTCATTATATAATTTTTGTTTGCTTATGTTTTGTTTAATTTATTGATGTTAGGTTCTAATGTTGTACTCATATGTGGGCTTGCAGCATTATTATGTTGGTATTTGTTCATTTTATGGAAGCATTGAATGCCTTTTTGTGTGTTGGAATCTGCCCTGAGTCGTCCCCCCCCCCCCCCCCGGGGGGAGATAAGGCAGAATATAAATAAAGATGATGATGATCTTTATATCCCCGTATTGTGTAAGCTTTTCCACTTGCTTTTCATCAATTCTGCTGTGGTCTGGGATTGCAACATTGACAATCCATACTATTATTATTGTTGTTGTTGTTGTTATTTGAAACACAACAAGATGAGTTCACAGCAGACAAGATCACTCTGCTGGCTATTGTATTGGATCACATGTTGGACACTTCCCAAGTGTTTAGGACTATTCAATGTATCAGTGAATAATGCATGCAGATCCCAGTAAGGTGTCCTTCTGCAGCTGGCAACTGGTAATTTTGTCAGCGCCGATTGTGTTTATGTGCAGGCAAGGTCTTTAGGCACTGCACCCAGTGTCCCAGTCACCACTGGGACCACTTTTACTGGCTTGTGCCAGAGTCTTTGCATAACAACAACAACAACAATAATAGCTGGATGATCTGGACAGAAAAACAAGAAAACTGATGACAATCCACTACGTATTACACTCGCATAGTGATGTCGACAAACTTTACCTGCCCTGAAAATCAGGAGGCAGTTGGCTTCTGCAAGTGAAATAAACGGTAGAAGAGAAACACGCACTGGCAGATTATGTGAAAGGCAGTCAAGAACCAACATTGAGGGAAGTCAATAGTAGTAAACTGCCTAAAGTGCAAAAGACAAAGAGGGAATACCGTAAAAACACAATCCAGAATAGAAGAGAAAACTGGCAAAAGAAGGCTCTCCATGGACAGTTCCTGGGAAAAATTGAGAGCCAAATTGACATAGAAAGAAATGGCTGTGGCTTACAAATTGAACCCTGAAAAAGGAGACGGAGGGCCTGATTTTGGAAGACCAAGAACAAGCCATTAGAACCAACGCCATCAAAGCCAGAATTGAAAAGTTGTCAACAGATCCCAAATGTAGACTGCAAGGAAGCAGATGAAACAATAGATCACATCCTGAGCTGCTGCAGGAAGATCGCGCAGACAGACTACAAGCAGAGGCATAACACCGTTGCTCACATGATTCATTGGAACTTGTGCCACAAATACCATCTGCCTGCGACAAAGAACTGGTGGGATCACAAGCCGGAAAAAGTTACGGAAAATGAACACGTCAAGCTCCTCTGGGACTTCCGGATTCAGACACAGAGTTTTTGAGCATAATACTCCTGACCTCACAATCGTGTTAAAAAACAAAGTATGGATTGTCAATGTTGCAATCCCAGGTGACAGCAGGATTGCAGAGAAACAACTGGAAAAGCTGACACAATATGAGGATTTCAAAATTGAATTGCAAAGACTCTGGCACAAGCCAGTCAAGGTGGTCCCAGTGGTGATTGGCACACTGGGTGCAGTGCCTAAAGTGCCTGCACTTAAACATAATCAGCGTTGACAAAATTACCATCTGCCAGCTATAGAAGGCCACCTTACTGGGATCTGCACACATTATTTGCCGATATATCACACATTCCTAAACACTTGGGAAGTGCCCGATGTGTGATACAGTTCAACAGCCAACAGAGTGATCTTGTCTGCTGTGGACTCATCTTGTGGTGTTTCAAATAATAATAATAATAATAATAATAATAATAATAATAATAATGTTGTTGTTGTTGTTGTTGTTGTTGTTGTTGTTGCCTGTAGATGTTTCCATGTGTAAAGTTGGTTAATGCAGTAATAACTGCATGGTCCTAATGCAAAAACAATTTTCATCTGGAAGTTAGATGTACATTTGCTTGGGACGTCTTGTAAAAAAAGACTACTTTTACCACTTCAGTAATGTCACCCTTACCTTGTTAGCCAGTGTTGCTCTTTAACCCTTAGGATAAATCCCGGAACCTTGCTGTACATTCGGTGAAGGCCTTGTTAAACATGGATGATGACATCTTAGTGGCACACATGGGTTCATGGCTCACCGTGGCACACATGTCAGCCCTGACAAATCAGCAAACTTCCAAAGTATTTGTATGTGGTGTGAAGTCAACGGCAAAAGAAGCTGAACTCAAGGGCTTGTTTGCACAGATGGAGTGTAAAAGTAAGAATGTGATAATTTCTTCCTTTCCTTGTATAAAAATAGTTTCTGGCAGAGAACAGATACTCATGTCACTTCCTAACAGATGCATTTGGAAGATTTAGGAATTAAAAATTGATTTTCTTTCAATGTGCTTTGTAAATTTTATCAAGTTACAAAATATTGAATTTATAGACTGTGTTAGCTTTCCATTGCCTAACAAGAAGAATTTGTTATTCTCTCTGCCTCAGATATTGAACTAATTCGCGAGGATTTTGCAAACATTGAACCCACTGATAACAAGCTGCAGAAAGTAAAAGTAATTTTGCTGCTTCCTCGTTGCTCAGGACTGGGTGTCAGCAACCCAATAGAGTTTATTCTAAATGAACATGAAGGTAAATTAGATTTAATTACTTTACTAAACACGTGCCTTGTGTTGGCATAAAATAGATTATTGTATTAGAACACTGACTTGGTGCTTTGCATATTAAGCAGCTGATTTCCAAACAATTTTAGACATCTTCGCTCACAATGGTGTTATGTTGCATGATGTGTTGTGTCACTGCAGTCTTTAGCAAATTTTCTTAGCTATTGCCAATCTTAAATCAGCTATTTTATTTATTTACTAGCTGTACCCGCCATGCGTTGCTGTGGCCAACCTTCCTTCTTTCTCTCCTTATTTTCCTCCTTCCTTCACTCCCTCTTTCTTTCCTTCCTTCCTTCCTTCCTTCCTTCCTTCCTTCCTTCCTTCCTTCCTTCCTTCCTTCCCGTCTTTCCTTCTCTTCTTCCTTCCTTGTCTATCTCTTTCCTTCCTTCCCCTTTTTCTTTTCCTCCCTCTTTCCTTTCTTCCTTCTCTACCTCTTTCCTTCCTTCTCTCTTTGCTTCCATGCTTCCTTCTCCCTTTCCTTCTTTCTTTCCCTCCCTCTTTCTCTACATCTTCCCCCCTTCCTTTGCTCTTTCTTTCCTTCCTTCTTTCCCTTTTTTCTTTCCTACTCTCCTTCCTTCCTTCTCTAACTTTCCTTCCTTCCCCCTTTTTATTTCCCTCTTTCTCTCCTTTCTTTCTTCTCTACCTCTTTCCTTCCTTCTCTCTTTGCTTCCATGTTTCCTTCTCCCTTTCCTTCTTTATTTCCCTCCCCTTTTCTCTCATTTCTTCCTCCTGTACCTCTTTCCTTCCTTCTCTCTTTGCTTCCATGCTTCCTTCTTCTTTTCCTTCTTTCATTCCCTCCTCTTTTCTTTTCTTTTCTTTTCTTTTCTTTTCTTTCTTCCTTCCTTCCTTTCTTTCTTTCTTTTCTTCTTCCCTTCCCTCCCTCTTTCTTCCTTTTTTCTGTATTTTCATTTAGCTTTTCGTCATTTAGCTTTTTGGGGCTTTTAAAGTCTCTTCTGCTGTGTTTTTCAGTGTTTTTATGAGTGAAGGACATGCATTGGGTTGTTAGGTGCATTGTGTCCAAATTTGGTGTCAATTCATCCAGTGGTTTTTGAGTTCTGTTAATCCCACAAACAAACGTTACATTTTTATTTATAGAGATACTCTGCTTTTCCCCCCACGGGGACTCAAGGCTATTAATTATAGCACACTTTGGCCCCCATTTAAAACAAAAATACAAATACAAAAATTAAATAAATACATTTTTAAAAAACCCAATTGAATAGTACTGTGTGGGTTCGGTTAAAATATAATTTAAATTTAATAAACACAATTTAAAATGCATTTTAAAATACACAACCCCTCAAATCCCACCCACAACCTCCCTAGCAGCAGAAAGGGGAGTAAAGGTTGTAACTTAGAGATAGCGATAAGAGATTGAAACTTTTCACATGAGCACAGCTTCAGTCCCCTTCTAGCTAGACATACTCTCCATATGACTAGATGGAGCCTCAGCAATGTGTCCTTTTCTTATGCATCCCAGCCCTTTCCCTGCATCTAGGGGAAAATAGAGTGGAGCATAAAAAACAAATGCTCCATTGAAATTTTGTCAACAACATCTTTCCCTAATTTGGTAACCACTAGAAGTTATGAACATCAACTCTCATGAGTCTTCTTTCCTGTGTTTTGGATGGAGGAAGGAGACAAAACCAAGGCTGCTGTTCAAATCAGAATTCGAGATAAGAAACAATCAGGGGCAGCTAATACCACCCCCCAACAAAGGATTCCCCCAGCCAGCAAGCAGCCAGACTTTGAAGCTGCAAAGCTATTCAATGCTAATCAAGGTTGTCAATTGCAACATTCACAGTTGTCTCAACAGATAAGAGTTCTTTCTTCCACCCTGGACATCCCACAGATATATAAACCCCACTTGTCTAGTTTTCAACAGACCTCACAACCTCTGAGGATGCCTGACATAGATGTGGCGAAAGGTCAGGAGAGAATGCTTCTGGAACATGGCTATACAGCTTGAAAAACTCACAGCAACCCAAACCAGAATTGTTTGAATCATGATACTGCCTGCATTTAGAACTTCTTATATCCCCAGTGGCTGTTTCACTATTAACTGTGTGTACTACTCTGCAGAGGTCTTACATCTGTAATTGTGGTATCTAATAATGCATCAACTGCTAGCAAAGAAAAGAGTAACAGAACCCCAATATGTATTATAGTTATTTAGTTCTCTGTTTTCTGTTGATGTTCCTTTTAGATGCAGAATTACTTCGAGATCTCTCTCAAGGATCAGTGGCAGAAGATAAATTGAATATGCTTGCTCAGCAACAATTTGAAGAATTAACACATGCAATGCAGTGTAAGCTTGTCTTTACTAAGAATAGAATATGTTAATGAATTCCAACTTTTTAACATTTCTCATTAGTTTGTGATTGACATATTTTTTTTTAAAAAATGAGTAGATAGGAAGGAGCATCACCTTCCTTGAATTGTTAACCGAAACTTAAAAGAAAGTGTCTGTGTACATAATATTTTTTTTATAAAACACTAGTACTAGTGTTTTTTATAAAACACTAGCCGTCCTCTGCCACGCGTTGCTGTGGCCCAGTCTGATGATCTGGAAAATAAAGTAATGAGAAAGTAACGAGAAAGTGTCAGTTTCTAATACTGTAGGTAAACAGTATTTCTTCTTTTTTTTTGCCAGTGTTGATTTAGAGATTGTCTGGTTTGCCTACTCAGGAATATGCAACATATAATTGTCCTCCTTCAGGGGTCTCTTTCAAATTATGATACTATATCTGTCATATACGTATATATGTGTGTGTGTGTGAATCATATCTATCTATATCTATGGTTGGATGGCTCTTTGTAAGGAGGGCTTTGGCTATGTTTTCTTGCCCTGGTGAAGGGAGTTGGACTGGATGGCCTTAAGGCAGCATTTCTCAACCTGGGGGTTGTGACCCATGGGAGGGGGGTCACGAGGGGGTGTCAGAAGGATAGCCAAAGACCATCAGAAAACACAGTATTTTGCGTTGGTAATGGGGGTTCAGTCTGGGAAGTTTGGACCAATTCTATCATCGGTGGGGTTCAGAATGTTCTTTGATAGTAGGTGAACTATAAATCCGAGCAACTACAACTCTCAGATGTCAAGGTCTATTTCCCCCAAGCTCCATCTGTGTTCATATTTGGGCATATGGAGTATTTGGGCCAAGTTTGGTCCAGATCCGTCATTGTTTGAGTCCACAGTGCTTTCTGGGAGTAGGTAAACTATAACTCCAAAACTCAAGGTCAATGCCCACCAAACCCTTCTACTGTTTTCTGTTGATCAGGGGAGTCCTATGTGCCAAGTTTGGTTCAATTCCATCGTTAGTGTTGTTCAGAATGCTGTTTGATTGTAGGTGAACTATAAATCCCAGCAACTACAACTCCGAAATGACAAAATAAATTTTTTTGAGCGATGGTCACTCGTTGGCCTCATAGGTGTATTGTGTTCAAATTTGGTGTCAATTCGTCCAGTGGTTTTTGAGTTCTGTTAATCCCACAAACAAACATTACATTTTTCTTTATATAGACTAGTACATCATATGGCATATGTCTTGCATACATTTTAAAGCAGTGTTGTATGAGCTTTAACTATAACATTTAGTGACTTGTGGCCAAATTTGAATTCCTTGTAGTAATAGTATTTTTCTTAATCAAAGATGTGTAAACAGACGAACTTGTAATGTCTGCAAAATCAATGAATGACTAAAAGTTCAGTTAGGACGTGTGCTTGCACTCGAAATGATTAAGAGATGTATTAATTGTTCCTAACCGTTGAATTCTTGCAGTTACCAAAGCACAAGCTGTTGTCTACTGCACTTGCTCAGTGTATCCAGAAGAAAATGAAGTTGTGGTGAACAAAGCACTGACATCAGGAGCAGAAGGAACCAAAGCCCAGCCTTACAAGTAAAGAACAGAGTTCGATTAATTCTTTCAAAAAATGGATTTTCTCTCAAATGCAATGCAAGGCAGTTATGGCTGTGAAAAGGCTGGTGGGAAGCTGCACCCTTCTGTCTAGCCTTCCCATCATCCTTTTTGCTGTCACCATCAGTTTCCCATTAGCCTTTTCAGGACTACCACTGTCTTTACCTCTTTTGTCCCCATCTTGGCCAACAGGGCCATGATTTGATTACGTTTTATTACTGTGAAGAAGTCAATCATAACAATTTCAATATTTTGTGCTGATACCCTCTGCAGGCTTTGTCCCCCTGTTCTTCCTTTGTGTTGCAAATCAGAAATAAATTCATCCGAAGCCAACTTTTTCAAACAAGAGCCATCAGATATTTCGAATGGCTGTTTTATAGCTGTTCTGACTCGAGAGGTAGGTTCCAATTTTAAATATAAAATGCATTTTTATATTTTGTTTTTTATGTTTCATTTAATACACAATGTAACAAAATTCTGTTCCTGGTTTGAAAGTGTTATTTTTGTTTAGTTGTGTGGTACTTACTTTGAAAATAGGTGTTAGACTCTAGAAACTTCATTTTTGTGGCTGCCACAAACTATGTTGAATTGGCTGAGACTCAGTGAAATATTCATTGAAAAACTATAGCTAAATGCTCTGCACGATGTTCTCAAAAACAAACATTTTGCAGTGTAATAATCTTTTTCCATGTTTTTATGATTAGAACCAATTAGGAAATGACATTTATAACCCAGGAACAAAAATCATGTTCCACAATGTTATATGAACATCAGTACTGTCTTGTACGTACTTTAGTCTTCCTAGACAAAGGATGTCATGCTTTCTCCTGTACTTTCACTGAATGATATGGGAACCTATTTCAGCCAAAGGGTTGAATTCAGTTTCGGGGAGATTTTCAGTGGAGAGCAAGTCAAAAGGCAAAGACAAGAGATGCCAATTTGGAAGAAGTCAAGCAGGCTCATTAGACCATGGAGGACTAGATCCATCCCAAGAGATGAGACCCCACCCCCCACCACACACACACACACACACACACACACACACACACAGGGCAGTTTTGTAGAGGGGGCAATGCCATCTCTGTCTTTTGGCAATCTCACAACAACTGCTTGGAAGTAACAGTGAAGCCTTGCAGATGGCACGTGTCTGATGGTTTGTCCATGTGGGAAATCAACCATTTTCCCATCTAGGTCACCTTTTTGTGCAGGTGACTTTGTATCCAAACCAGTCACCTATCTCTCTTGCAACCATTTCCAGTGATTGTGAATGTTGAATGCTAGAACAGTAAGCTACCTAGAACTCTACTTATGCTAGTAATAAAAAGGTTACTGGATTTTCAGATAACTTTGGCCTCCCTTTGAATGCTTGAAACTATTTACAAATGGGATGTAGGTAGTTTTTAGAATATTTGTTCACTCGTCCCTGTGGGTTGGGGACATTTCTATGAGCAACAGTGACTTACAATTATTATTAAAATAAGTAGTGACTTATATACAATCACCAGCTTCAACAGTGGTAAATGAAAAAGATGAATTTCACTCCAAAGCTAACAAATTCACTTGATTACAAAAACACTGGATTAAAAAAAGGTATAAAACAGAGTAATCTACTTCTTTTATAGCTGTGATTCCAGTGTGTGGAATGAAAATATGGTCTGTGGTCTCACCCTTACTACACTGTTGCCTCAAAACCATGCGGCAATGAGAGCGGCTGGTCTCACAAAACCCTCTTATAGTGCTGAAGCAATGGGGATTTCAGGAAGGGAGAAGATGACAACCCACAAAATATTACTACTACCACATCAGCTCTAGATTATAAAATATGGATTTCTGCGGGTGAGCAGATGGTGACTACTGGATGGCATATTTCTGTATCAGAAACTAGAACTGATGTGGTCTATCCAATGCAATTTTCTGAATCAGTACCTCAAATAACCAAACCAAATATAAAGTTGACCAAAAAATGATTTGTAACCCTTTTGATACTAATGTTGGAGAGTAGTCCCTACCGGCCTATCTCTAACCTCCCCTTCCTGGGCAAGGTTCTAGAGCGAGTGGTTGCCTCCCAACTCCAGGGATTCTTGAATGACACCAATTATCTAGATCCATTGCAGTCTGGTTTCAGACCTGGCCATGGCACTGAGACGGCTTTGGTCGCCTTGGTAGATGACCTCCGAAGAGAACTTGACAGGGGGAGTTTGTCCCTGTTGGCTCTCCTGGATATCTCAGCAACTTTCGATACCATCAACCATCCCGGGATGGGTCTTGGGGGCATTGCTTTTGATACCATCGGCTCTCTGGGATAGGTCTTGGGGGCATTGCTTTGCAGAGGCTCCGCTCCTTCCTGGAGGGTCGCTCCCACTTGGTGAAGCTGGGGGATACCTGCTCAGACCCGTGGCCTTTGACCTGTGGGGTCCTGCAAGGTTCCATTCTATCCCCCCATGCTTTTTATATCTACATGAAACCACTGGGTGAGGTTATCCGGAGTTTTGGAGTTGGGTGCCATCTGTATGCAGATGACACCCAACTCTACTACTCATTTCCACCAAACTCCAAGGAAGCCTCCCAGATCCTGACTGCTGTGATGGACTGGATGAGGGCTAACAGGTTAAAGCTTAATCCAGACAAGACAGAGGTTCTCCTGGTCAGTCGTTGGGCCGACTGGGGTATTGGGTGGCAACTGTGCTCGATGGGGTTACACTCCCCCTGAGGGTGCAGGTCCATAGCTTGGGGGTCCTCCTGGACAACGCTGTCACTTGATGCTCAGGTGTCGGGGGTGGCCAGGAGGGCCTTTGCACAACTTAAATTCGTGCACCAGCTGCGACCATACCTTGGGAAGTCTGACTTGGCCAGTGTGATCCACGCCTTGGTTACATCCAGATAGGACTATTGCAATGCACTCTACATGGGGCTGCCCTTGAAGATGGCCTGGAAGCTCCAATGGTACAACGGTAGGCAGCCAGGCTCCTTACTGGAGCAAACTATAGGGAGCGTACAACGCCCCTTTTAAAACAGCTTCACTGGCTGCCGATAAGTTGCCGAGCCAAATTCAAGGTGCAGGTTATGACCTATAAAGCCCTAAATGGTTTGGGCCCCGCCTGTCTTTGCGATCGCAGCTCCCTCTATGAACAGGTGTGAACTTTAAGATTTTCCAGGGAGGCCCTCCTTTTGCTCCCTCCACCGTCACAAGCACAGTTGGTGGGGACGAGAGAGAGGGTATTCTCAGTGGTGCCCCCCCCCCCCCCCCCCCCCCCCCCCCCCCCCCCCCCCCCCCCCCGCCTCTGGAACACCCTTCCTGGAGAAATAAGATAGGCCCCATCCCTCCCCTCCTTTCGTAAGAGCCTGAAGACCTGGTGGTTTAAACAAACCTTTGAGAACGACTGGTTCTATCTCTGCCCCAGATACTGTTAAAATTGGCCATATCTTCTTCTACCAATTACTCAGGTCACTCTCTTCTGTTAGGCCCTGGAAATGTACAGCCATAGACTCTACCTAATTTCCTGGGCCCTCTAAAATTGCACTAGCCTGGCCCGGCCTTTTAAACTGCTTTGATCAGTCATGATTATTTTAAATATATGTGGTATTGTGGTTTTAATGCTTATATTGTCTTGTTAATTTTATGTTTATGCCATTTTTCTTGTATGTATTGTTTATGTTACTTGGAAACCGCTCTGAGTCCCCTTGGGGAGATACAGCGGTATATAAATAAAGTTTTGTTGTTGTTTTAGTCCCTCCTCAAAGTAGTCCCTGGTCAACAAAAGGTTGGGAACCACTGTTTTATAGTAATGTGGACTACAGCAAGGCTAGAACCTCCATATGAAAGGGTTGGATGATCATGGGTAGTAGACCTAACCTGCTGGAGAATGGTATGGTGAGGGACAGATAACATTTTCTGCAGGACCCAAGTATTCCTTTGTACAATACCTATCACTAATAGCTCTTTCAGATTGGTGATTTTTACTATTGATAATACATATTTATTTCTCTTAAAAGAGGGATCCGTCTGAGTCGGTGTCAGTGAAAGATGTCTTAGCTCGTGCTGCAGCAAAAGGACTCCTAGAAGGTATTGATTTGGCAAAACCACCCAAAAAAGAAGAGAAGAAGAAAAAGAAACAAAAGGTAACCCAGCCAAAGGCTGCCAGTAAAGAGGCAGTGATACAGTCCAAAATTCAGGAATTCCTGAATCGAGAAATGAAGTCCACCACAGTAAGTCCAGACTCGTCAGTATCTAATATAACAACCACTGTCTCTCAGACTGTGGGCCAGACAAATGGTTCCATAGTTCTGAAGAAAACAGCCAAACCCCACTCAAACCCATCTCTGCCTGTGATGGCAAAGAACAGCCTTACGTCATCCATGCAAAAAGCATTTGAAAGGCAACGAAATATTAGGAAGTCAAAGCCAGAAGATAGAGTCATGATCTTGAAGCCAGTTGAGATTGTCTTGCCTCCAGTAATGATGCCGTACTTCAATCCACAAGGAAACAAATCTGAAATTTCATCTAACCACTATTATTACCGTTGGGTTGGAGCAAAACGTGGTATGGTTAGCCCTTCGACATCCAAAAAACTCATCAAGTCAAAAGAACCCTCGTCCGCTTCTCCAGCCAAGCATGCTCACCCATGGCTTTGAAGGCTGCCTTTTATACCGAATTCTTTCAGAACTCAAAACCTGGATTTCTGTAATAGTAAAAAACAACAATCCTAAAACCAAGACAAAAGCCTGCCTATTATCACTTAGGTGTGAAATACTCTTCTGTATAAGTGGTAGTGAAAACACGCATCTCTTTTCCTGGCTGTTGTGAGGGTGGCAATGAGGTTGTCCTACAGAGGCTTTATTATGTAATTACTACAATCTAGTTGCAGTAAACTCAGTGCCAAAATACTTAGATTTAAGGTTTACACTATGGGAACTTATTAGGTATAAACTAAAAGGTTTATATATGAATAGCTGGTTGTTTTAGAATACAGCAGAGAGATATCTTGTCTGAACGCACTTAGATACTGAATTATAAGGCAACCCAATGCAGTTGCAATCAAAAAGAGGACTTTCAAACAAAAAGGTGGATTATTAGTGCTTATTCACTAGGTATTTCACTGAATATTCTTCAAAGTTTCAAATATAATGCCTTTTCTTTCTTTCTAAAATGGGTTCCAATCTGCCGAGTGATCTTACTTTCAGCCTCTTTCAAATTTTCTCTTCCTAAAAAATAGGCCTTTTTAAAGCTTGTGAAAACAGTAGCTTAAAGAATAGACTGTTGATGCTTTTTGTTGACATCTTCAGAAGCGTGGACAAGAAAAATAATTCTGGGTTTCTTTGTATGGCAGCGTGTATGTCATTCTGTTACAGCTAGACATTGAACTTGTCTAGATAGTCAGTAAAAAAAATTGGATTATTATGCAGCATAGAGAAATGGAAACAATACCTATTAAACAATTACTGCTTACTGATTTTCTTAATTGCAGTCTTTTGTTCCCTCTGGCTGATATCCATTATTAACCAATTATGTTTGTCTACATTCACTTATAGTATTGGTATTTGAACTGCTTTTATATTACAGTGAAGATAAGACCTTATGCTCCCTTCAGAGGTAGAATTTTATGTATGTAATGGCAGAGGTGCATTCATATACGGCTGTCCTTAATGCCAGGTAAGTGTAATATAGGTTACCTAGGAAGCAGATGCTGGCCAGTAGCAGTGGCAGGGTGCTAGCCACTGTTTCTCTGTTACTCGGCTATTCCTCTCCTGAAGGTCAGGGCTGTGTCGGTGTCCCACACTCTTCTTCTTAAGCTATCTGGTATAGAGGACCAACAATATTTTTTCCACAATGTGCCAAGGACAGCGTCATATTTGTGCCCTAGGACTCAGGTGCTTAGATTCTTATGTTAACCCATGTTGGGGTGTTTGAACTATTATTACTCCAGTTTTTGCAGTTTCTGGCTTTTGGCAATTTCCCATTTTATATGGCAAACCACTTTATAACCTCATTTTGAATTATCAGCTTGCTATAACTGATGGAAAGCTACTCAAATAACAGTTTATTCTATCAACTCCCCACCAATAAAAGTAGCATCTCCAAATTAGCATAATCATGCCATCCCTTCCTCATGAAATTATTAAAAATATGGTCCAAATATTGTGGTTAGAGTCATATTCAAAATTATTGAGATTTATTTATTTATTATTATGACATTTCACTCTGGGCCAGAGTGAAGAGAGAGGGGGCCAGGGGACAGTTCCACCTTGTCTCCTGTGCTATTCTAATAATATAATATAAATATAATATAATATATTGTATATGCATATAATATTTATAATATAATGTAATGCAATATAATAATATGATATTATAAATATATATATTACATATAATATTACTAATAATATTACGATATAGTGGTATGGTGCAATATAGCAATGTTTAATGCTGATATTGTACTATGCTAATAATATAATATATTGTGTGTAATATATACCTTTTAAGCCGCTCTGAGTCCCCTTCAGGGCGAGAAGGGCGGCATATAAATGTCGTAAACAAACAAACAAACAAATAAATAAATGCTTTTTAAAATTACATTTCTTGTAATCCTTACATTTCCTGTAATCCTTATGATTATATTCCTTACATTTCCTGTAATCCTTATAGGACAGTATAATATTCATATGCTAGAAGAAAAGGAGAGAGTTTCCTTTAGCCTAGTTTGGCCTCTTTCACCTGCGACCCTCCAGATGTTTGGGATTTCAGCTCCCAGAGTTCTGACCATTGAACAAGTTGGCTGGGGCTTCTGGGAGTTGGAGGCCCAAACACCAGGAGGGCAGCAGGTTGAAGAGGACTGGTCTGGTGTATCTAGAGTTATGATATACTTAAGTTGAGGACTTCCCAGTTGTTATTTGCAGCCACTATGCCAGGGGTCCTCAAACTTTTAGAACACAGAGCTCTCAGGCATGAATGGCAGGGCCTGGGAAAATGATCTTAATGGGCCGGATGTAGCCCGTGGGCTGTAGTTTGAGAACCCCTGCAATATGCCATTGATGACCATACTGATGGCCAAAAATATTGTAGTGCTGCATAATCATCCCAAAATATTTTATGAACCAGTAAACTAATTTTTCAGCCAAATACATATTTATTTGCAGACTACTTTTTCATCTCTTTAGGAAAATGCTCTACTTATTAAAAACCAAACCTAATTATTCAAATGGTGATTAACTTGCCTCAAGCAATGGCAATCATTCCAGGTTGTTGTTTAGAGACAATGACCATAATCTGTAGGTGACTTACAATTGGTTTGTCTTTTTCAGACCAGCTGGTACTTCCCTGTACTGTTAGGTACAGAAGAGCATATACAGGGTGAGGCAGCATAATTTCCTACTATATCTGCCTGTGCTTGCCTATGGCAGGCAAGGTAAACAGCACCTGACCCCAAAATCCCATACAGGGTGAGACAGCATAACTTCCTTTTTTTCAAAACTTAATAAAACCCATTGTATGAATCAGAATTTTTTATATAATGTAGGCACATACCTAAAGTTTTGTTTTACATAGTTTTGAAGATCAAATTAGGTAGGTGACGTCCCCCATTCTTCATTCACTGAGTAAACCGATTTCTGGCTTTTGTCATGACTCTTGCTAGCATAGCAGGTGTTACGTTGGCAATTTCTTCCTGGATGTTGGTCTAAAAATCTTGTAGGGTCCTTGGACGGTTCAAATAAACACAGGATTTCAAAAAACACCATAGAAAAAAATCACAAGGGGCCAAATCTGGAGAGCGGGCTGGCCACTCCAAATCCGCTCGAAAAGTAGGTCTCAATGGCAAAAGCACGCTCCTCACTGTTCCAACACATGATGGCAACTGAACTATGTCAGGACAAAGCTTTCTACTCCCGCCTCTCGAACGAGACCACTAGCGCTCCGCTACGTCTTCAACTGACTGAATGGCGCGCATTTTAAAAAAGGAAGTTATGCTGCCTCACCCTGTACTTCCTTGTACTGTTAGTTCCTCCAGGTATAGAAGAGCTTATAGATAAACCCTGGGTGCAATCATCCTGTTCACTGATTGGTGACCAGTGTGTGCCCTTGACACTATTCAAGTGTCATTTTGTGCCCAAGTAGTAGTAGCAACTTTATGTTGGGAGAGCAACTGTAGTGTTTCCTTCAGCACCCAAATGATGCCCTCATGCCAAGCTTTGGCAGTGGAAGCCACCTTTGGAGCTTCACCCAGGGGAAGAAGTGATACTATTTCCCTTTAAAAGCAAGACCAGGACTTATACTCTGCCCGTAAAGGTTTTATCCTTCATGGTCTCTGTGAAATGCGCATGTATGGTAGTTGAGGAACCTCTGCAAGTTTACTCCAACATGATCTTTGCCAGAACATCCAAAGTTTCAGTTGATCTTCATAAATACAGTTTCAGTCTTGCAAAAAGAACTAAACTTCAACCACATGAACACAAAACAAATTCTTAATGCAGCTAAATTTATTCTTGCAATGGATTACATTTAAATGTGTAAAAAGTGGACAATACTCGAAAAAAACTTCTCTTTTTCAAATCAACTACTTCTTGTAATACCGAGAGCTCCTGCTGATAAACTTTGTGCATTTCCCCCTTTGTTTTGTGCAGATGATGAAATAAATCAGATCTGCTTCTGCTCATTCACACTTCTCTCACTCAAGAGTAACTACGCTTCCCAAAGAGAGGAGCTGCTGATGGTCATGCCAGAGAGAAGAGCTAATGCAATAAAAATAGCACTTCCACATGTGATATTTACTACCCAGGTTTCTTTTAACATACCAAAGATCTCAAGAGTTAGTAAATAGTGCAATCTTTGCACTTCGATTTCCATTCAAATATTTAAGACCCTTTCCATCCCCTTTAAAGTAGGGTAGTATTGCGGACAAAGTTTATCGCCAAGATTTCTTTGTAACAGAAGTAGGGTTGATACCATTCCATGCAAATTCTTTCCTCTTGTAGGTGGTTCTTTATCTTTATGGGGAAACTATTTAAAGAAACAGTACTTGGTTTGTATCAAAGTAACAAATAGCATATCCAAGAACTGCTGTGGGTCGAGAGAGGGAGGAAGAAAGGCATTTATCCCTTACACATGCGTGTAGTAGGCCGTCTCCTTCCCTCCCTCAACGAAGGACATGAATGAGAGTACATGGTCTGTGAGAGCAGCATCTAACTTGCTTTTTGTGTTTTAAAAAATAATAGAAGTTAGCTTTACACGTTATTTCGCCATTTACTTCTACATACTCAATTAAAAAGGTGACTACAAATAATTACAAAAAATCCTCTTGTCTTTTGGCAACCTATAGTACACTGAGATTACTTAGGACTGGATATATCTGCGAGGTTTACATCCAGTCATAAAGATATGTCAACATAATTGAATATTTCAGTAAAAATAGAATAAATAAAATAAAATATTTAAGCTGTATTTAACAGGTTAATCAAAAAAAGACATGAAATATCCAAGGCATAGTGAACATGGCTGCCTTGCGAGATATAAAGAATGCATAGATAACAGAAGTGTCACTATCACATTGAGTAAAGTCATTGGCATTTGTTCACACTCAACCCATACATACATTTTGGCCATGGTAAGAAAAAAATGCTTGTGTGTTTTCGTGATAAGAACTACTGTGCTGGATTAGACCAAGCTTTGTTTAGTTCAACGTTCTGTTTCCAGCCTCTGGAAGCTCAGAAAGCAGAGAATAAAGGTTTTCTCCTTCGTGGTCTCTGTGAAATGCACATGTATGGTAGTTGAGGAACCTGTGCAGCAACTACCATAGCTGCAAATTTCACAGATGACCACTCGAAGAAACATGGTTACAGGTAAGCAACCATCATTTCCCTATGGTTTGTCCACTCACATTCCTAGAGAGATGTACTGCTACTGTACATGGAGAATTCATAAACAAGGTGCAGATAAAAAACTGTCAGGATATGAATTTAAAAAATCTTACTTGCAAGAAAATGGAGATGCCACACTCAGCTAGTGCCACTGAACACAGAAAAAGAAAGCTTTATCAGAGATCAGTAAGAATTCAGCAACTTCTTGGGGGGAAAAGATGGTTTGTCTTCTCGATGTTTTAATCAAGTCATATATAGCCCTCTTTTTATTTCCTGCTCCGTGGGAAGAGGTTTATCAAGTGAAATATAATTAAATAAAATATAAATGAGTTAAGGTTTCCTGTGTGAACCGAGTTTCAAGTTGCGAAAATTACAGGACAGAGTAATGCTTTCTTAAAATCGTAGCTTTTACTGGCTTTCCCCCCCACAAACAACTTTTGCGAACTATAGTTGCCAATAATCAACATGCAGTTTCTGAAAATGAGAACTGAGATTGGAAGTACTTGGCTAAAGGAGACCTAAATATTTGTCCACTTGGAACTGTGTCCTTGACTTGTCATTTCTGCAACTGCATTTCCCAGAGATACTTCTCTGCTGCAGAAGATAAAATCATCTTACACTGACTTTGCATAGGTGGTGAAGTCAGTTCATTAGAAAATTAAAGGGGCATCTTTAAATGAAAAGAGATTTTATGCGCAGAGACACTTATTACCCAGTATGATACACCTCTTGGAGAAAGATCATCACTGGGATGCTGTGAGTTTTCTGGGCTGTAGGTCAATGTTCCAGAAGCATTCTCCTAAAGTTTCGGCCTCATCTAGTAATGAAACAGAGGATTTATGTTTGTATTGGTTTTACTGTGTTATCTGATGTTATTTATGCTAAATGTTTTAATTGTTTTTATGTTATTGGGGGCATCGAATTGTCCCATTTATAAACAGCCCTGAATCGCCCTCAGGTTGAGAAAGGTGGTATCTAAATATGGTAAATAAATAAATAAATCTATAGATAGGCATCCTCAGAGGTTGTGAGGTCTGTTGGAAACTAGGCAAGGATTCCTCCAGGTAGGAAGCAGCCAGGCTTTGAAGCTGCAAGGCCACTCAATGCTATTCAAGGTAGCCAATTGCAATATTCACACTTGCCTCACAGACAAGAGTTCCTTCTCCCACCCTGGACATTCCACAGATACATAAACCTCACATGCCTACTTTCCAACAGACCTCACAACCTCTGAGGATGCCTGCCACTGATGTGGGTGAAACGTCAGGAGAGAATGCTTCTAGAACATGGCCATACTGCCCAGAAAGCTCACAGCAACCTAGTGATTCCGGCCATGAAAGCTTTCAACAACATGAAGACCATCATCATCACATGTTTTCTTAGATTACATGTAGATCTTAAAATGTAGGCTAGGTCACACACGCATGATGGTTCCATGTTTGCTGATCTGCAGCTGAATGCCTGAACTGACTGCTGAAAAGCAACACATTTAAAATGAAATGAAAGGGGTGTGTGATACTGCGGAACAGCTATACATGCAAGTCGCTCCTTGATGCTCCAGGCATCCAGTGATAGATCATGCACATGTAAAGCAGTGTTACGTTGCCTATGGAAATGAAAGATTAAGCCCAGTTATTTAAGGGCTCCAGCTGGAGGTCAGCTGTGACCAGCAATGCTGCAGAATTTGAAGAGGCACGAATGGAGGGCGAAAGAGAGAAACGTGCCAAGAGGAAGGCACGTCAAGCCAACCCCGACCGAGACCGCCTTCCACCTGGAAACCAATGCCCTCACTGCAGGAGAACATGCAAATCAAGAATAGGGCTCCACAGTCACCTATGGATCCACCACCAGTACACTGATCTTGGAGGACTATCCTACTTGGACAACGAGGGATCGTTTAAGTCAGTAAGTTGCTGAAGGCTTTGCTGACTGAATCCAGCACACATTTTGCTTCAGCACTTAGGATTCAATAAACTTCTATGAATTCTTGCACACAGCACAATTACATTTTGGGGATAGCCAGAATCTATCTTTAGTCAAAGTTATCTCTATATAATGTACTGGATGGCCATGAAAAACAACAAATGGTACCTGACAGATGGAGAGGAGCCTCTTCTGGGCTTTAGCCTTCTGGCATTTTGAGAAAATAGAAAATAAAAAGCTTGTGTTGGATATCTGGCAGGACAGATGAGGCTCTGGCTCAGAGGCTTTCCCTTCACCTCAAGGACTTTTCGTACACAAATCAAGAATGGATGAGATCCAATTTCCCCAATTTGACAGCAGAAAGTTGACAAGGCTATCCAAGTAGACGTTTGTGAGAATAATCCCTTTCTCCTTAAAAGGTGTTATGTGCTAGGAGAGAAGTCCAGACAGGATTCCCTGCCCTCTCCGTTCGCTCTCTGCAGGCTGGGACTCTGCACGGACTGTCACCACTTCTGTTTTTGCCCCAGGTTATGACTCACCAAGGCATAAATGGGGCTTGAAGGCTTTTCCTTTGGCAGTTGTGCAGGTGAACTTGTGCTACATATTTTGAGTCATTAACCATGGCACAGTATACATTTAAAAAAAAGAATCACCTCAAATAGCATATAGTATAAGGTGCTCATAGATATTAGGTGCCATGGTCATGTCTAGTACAGGATGACACATTTTACTCAGAATTTTTGAGAACTAGTGCTATAATTTTGTATTACACACAAGAACTGCTAGAGAATATGCTTTTTCTAACCTGAAGCTCAGTGTAAAACATAGCTCCTCAGAAGGCTGCATATGAGAAGAAGCTTCTTCCAAAAAAATGCCATTTATGCGTGCCTTAAAATTACTGTGGACACTTGCATTAATGATAAGAATAATTGCTAATAGTCCAGAATTTTATCATTAAAGTTCTTCTCCTCATCCTATGTTACTGAAAGGAGCCCCCAGTTGTGCTGAGCTGCTGAAATTGCTGACCAAAAGGTCAGCAGTTCAAATCTGGGGAGCAGGATGAACTCTGGCTGTTAGCCCCAGCTTCTGCCAACCTAGCAGTTCAAAACATTCAAATGTGAGTAGATCAATAGGTACTGGTTTGGCGGGAAGGTAACAGAGATCCATGCAGTCACGCTGGCCACATGACCTTGAAGGTGTCTACAGACCTTCACCTTTACTACGTGAAATGAAATTGTAGAGGAGAGTCTACTGAACAAGCCAGTACCTGTTGCATAAGGTGGAGGTTTCTCCTTGACATGAGTCTAGTTGTGTCTGACTCTTCGGCTTAGAAATGGAGATGAGCACCACCTTCCAGAGTCAGACACAACTAGACTTATGTCAAGGGGAAACCTTCACCTTTACTACAAGGGTTGAATGAAAAGTAATGCCTCCACCTTCGTAACTCCTCAACAGATGGCAGTACTGGTATGCGCCAGGTACTGGCTTGTTTAGGAGACTCTCCTCTACAGTTCCATTTTGGTGGGAAGCCTTAGCATTGAATGGTTGTGTTGTTAAAGTGCAAAGTATGGAACCCTGCGCAAACAGTCGATCAATGCAACTTAAGCAACGTGCAGTCATTGAATTCTTGACAGCAGAAGATGACACTCCAAAGGAGATTCATCAGAGAATGCAAGCTGTTTATGGTGATTGTGTTGATGTGAGTACTGTGTGTTGTTTGGCGAGTAAATTTAAAAATGTTGAGGTGACACCTTCTGCTGTCAAGAATTTAATGACTGCACGTTACTTAAGTCGCATTGACCGACCTTCTGAACAGGGTTCCACACTTCGCACTTTAACAACACAACCATTCAATGCTAAGGCTTCCCATCAAAATGAAACTGTAGAGGAGAGTCTACTGAACAAGCCAGTACCTGCCGCATACCAGTACTGCCATCTGTTGAGGAGTTACGAAGTTGGAGGCATTACTTTTCATTCAAGCCCCGTATGTTAACTGAAACTTCATTCTAGATATACTACCCAATTAATGTTTTTAATGCACGAGTCCGGATTATTTTGTAATGACTGCAAGCTATGATCAGCAACTATGAAAATGAGCTGTAACTGGAGTTATACTGATTTAACAAGAAAAGCCAACACATCCTCTGAGACTCTCTTCTGAGCTTTTTAAGGTGGTTTAGTATTTCAAGAAACACAATTTCGAGACTGAAGGCCACTTCAAAGATGATGCGTTTCTTGCATGGATGGCACTTCCATGCGTGAAAAAGCAAAACAAAAACTCCTACATGTGCATAACAACGTGTGACAATATTGCACGACTGTTTTGTTGTGTATATGTGCGTGCCAGTAGGGGATGGCTATTAGTATATCCTGTGAAACAGACATGCCTGTGATTGTCAGACGTTGTTATAAAACCGTTTGCTCACTCTTTCCTAGAAAGAGGGGCGACTTGTCATGCTGAACTGTACCCGACTTGCAGACAAACAATTTAAAATATTAATCGACTATAGTGCACAAGATGGAAGGTTGGTTAATGAATGCGGCTTGTAAAAAGAAAAAGAAAAATATTACAATAACATCAGGGTGATATATGCCAGTGTTAAAAACGAGGGCAAAGTGCTGCAGGATTTAAGGACAGTCTGTGACAAAACCATCTCAGGATGGGGACGAGTACCAATCTGGGCCTGGTTCTCTCCAGAGATTAGGAGTGGCGTGCTGTATTCCTTTCTGGTGTATTATGTGTGAATGTAGGTAATGTTCATCATATTTACAATCGGAAAACAGACCTTCCATTTCTCACAGCAAAAAAAAAAAATTACTCATGCTTCTTTTCATATCACGTGATGGTGGTAAGGACGAGAGAACATGCTTGTCTACTATTATTTCGATAAGGGTAAATTCTCCAAAGACAAAGCATTACCATTTTCAACTGGAAGGCCAAAACTCAGTTCATCTCTTTTAATGTGGTTGCTGTATCTTCTGCCAGATCATATTCTTCCTCGGGGCTTCTATGGCGTGTCGGATACGGGGCGTTTCTGTTTCAAAGTGTCAATGAGGGACAAGACCCCTCGTTTTACATTAGTTGTGACTCTTCTAGTCATTGAGTCTGCTGGAGGAGGTGGTGGTGGCCGGACTTTTTGTGAAGGAGGTCGGGCGACCAAGCACTTCTGATACCGCAGCTGCAAGAAAGAAAATATGTTCTGCTATCATCAGTATGATTCAGTACACACAAAATTACTGAAAACATTTAGGTAAGGTATACTGATACACCATATCCATTGATACAGTCGCAGTTGGCGCACAAGCTTCTGTAAGGGAAACACGCAGTCCCTACAATCTTACCCTCCAGGATCTTGCCAGTTCCCTATGGATCCAAAGCAGGAGTTCAAATAGAGCAAAACACAGGTTGATTTCATATTGAGCAATAGAAAGGTGGACAGACAGCATACATAGAGTAGTGCTGGTACCAAGCTGCCACCCCGACTGGGACGACCATTGAGTTTATATACTCTCAGGAGGGCGGTGGTCCAACGTCCCCTCTTTGCCTTACTTAGACATTCCTCGCATGGTGGTAACTTCCCTTTTCGGCCCTATTTGGGCATATGTACATTGGACCACCCCGAACTCCTCCTCTTCCCAGAATAACACACCTTCAGTAACACGCCCCTTGTACCCTTGTGGTCAACCCTGTGGTCAGCTACCAGTAAACATGTAGTAACCTTGTACCCTGTGGTTACCTGTTGTTCCAAGGAACTATGGGGTAACTATGAGTCCCCCCTCGGGGGTGAGAAGGGCGGGGTATAAGTAATTGCAATAAAAAATGTTCTCTCTGTGGTCGGCCTGTTCCAGGCAACCATGGGGCAATCATGTACCTTGTGGTCAAGCAGTAGTATTCATGGACCAAGGGTGCCTTGGTCAATCATCCTGTTTATCACACGAGACCAAGTACGGCACTACCCCAGGCACCTTGCAATGTTCCCAATATGATATGCATGCAGCCTATATTCCTGAAGCATCCCAGAAGCCCCTAATATGGCTTATTGTCCCCCTCACTTCAATTGTGCAAAAGCCCTCCCAGCCACCATCGACGCCTGTGCTTCAAGCATTAGTGAAGAGTCTAGGAGGACACCCAAGCATATCCTTCCCCTCCTTTCGTAAGAGCTTGAAGACCTGGTGGTTTCAACAAGCCTTTGAGAATGACTAGTTCTAGCTCAGCCCTAGACATTGTTGAATATGGCCTTATTCTTCCTACCAATTACCCAGGTCACTTCCTCTAATAGGCCCCAGAAATGAACAGCCATAGACCCGTACCTGTTATTGTTGTTGCCTGCTACAGCACTGTACTTAATTCCCAGGCCCCTTAGAATTATTGAGCTCGCACGAATCTCGGCCCGGCCTTTTAAATTGCCTTGAACAGGCAGGATTACTTTTAATATACATGTGTCGTGACAATTTTTATGCTTATATTGTTTTGTTAATCTTATGGTTATGTTGTTCACTTTGTATGTATTGATGATGTTACTTGGAAACCACTCTGAGTCCCCCTCGGAGAGATGGAGCGGTATATAAATAAAGTTTTATTTTTATTATTATTATTATTATTATTATTATTATTATTATTATTGTTTTTATTCCTAGACTATTATTTCACAATTTATGCTTTTTATCTCATTGCGAAGTATTTCATGATAATTTTAATCACAATTTTTCACTGTATTTATCATTTTCATTGTGCGGTAATACTTTGATTTAAGTGTTTAATCTGTTCAATGATCGAGCTCTTAACTCAAATCTTAACTCTTATCTCAAAGCAAATTTCCCATTGAAATCTGTTCCAGCCCCCTGACCCCCCTTTTAATACGTGTCATTAAATATTTCATGATAATTTTTAATCTTATGTTTTTTTCGCTGTATTTATCATTTTCATTGTGCAGTAATACTTTGACTTAAGTGTTTAATTTGTTCCATGACTGAGCTCTTAACTCAAATCTTAACTCTTGTCTCAAAGCAAATCTTCCATTTTAATACGTGCTTTTAAATAAGAAAATAGGAACCCCTGGGGGCACAGTGGGTTAAACCCCTGTGCCGGCAGGACTGAAGACCAAAAGGTCACCGGTTTGGATTCGGGGAGAGCACGAATGAGCTCCCTCTATCAGCTCCAGCTCCAGCTCCTCATGCAGGGACATGAGAGAAGCCTCCCACAAGTATGGTAAAAACATCAAAACATCCGGGCATTTCTGGGCAACGTCCTTGCAGACGGCCAATTCTCTCACACCACAAGCGACTTGCAGTTTCTCAAGTCACTCCTGACACGACAAAAACATAAATAAATAAGGAAATGTACTTTATTTGAAGCAACAAAATGTGTGTTGGACAGTGTAACAGCAAGGCAAAACCTGAACATTCACATTTCCACTGACTGATTGAACTTTACATGGAACTTCATTGAATGAACTCTCTTGCTTGCAAAACTTTAATTAGGTTGTCAAACTGACAAATGTACATTTAAAACTGGTTGTAGTAGAAATTACTGCAGTTTAGATGCTACATAAGTGTCTCCCCTCTTTAATTCCCCTCAGCATATAGCTTGTTTTGTCATCAACCACTATGTTTACAAATCTACTTTGATGGTGATGGCCTGGGTTGAATATCACCCTACTCTCATCTCTAGGACCAGTCTGTTCACTTTCAGGTGAGTGCGAATGTTTCCTCCACTATCCCAAGGAGAATAATGTTAAAGGACAATGCTCGCCAAATACTTTGGAAACAGATGTTGAACAACACTGCTAGAGCAGGGAATTCCGCTTCTTCTCATTAATCTTGCAATTTGTTCTTTCCATTGTCTCCTTTCAATAAAAGCACACTGTTCTCTTGTGAAAAGCCAGAGCCTGTTTTTTGCCTTTGATTCCTGGTCCTGCTCATCTGGTTATCAGTCTACACACGTAATAATTTGCGATATTGCTTTCTAATAGCATTAAAGCCGAAGAAGCAGGGAGAGCTGGCACTAATATTAAGAATCGTAATGTGAAATGTTAAAATCCAAGTGCAGAATGAAAAAAGTGGTTGATTTATTAGGGTAATTTCACCAATTGACTCAAAATATTATTTTACTTAAATACAATTTCATATTACATTAACACTAAATGCCACAAAATAACCCTAAAACCAGTTAATAGTCTGCTTTATCTCTTTACATATAAGCTGCAGTGGCACAATGGCTCGGCAGTTTGAATCCGCAAGATGGGCTGAGCTCCTGTCAGTCAGCTCCAGCTTCCCATGCGGGGACATGAGAGAAGCCTTCCACAGGATGGCAACACATCCGGGCGTTCCCTGGGCAACGTCTCTGCTGGTGGCCAATTCTCTCACACAAGAAGCAACTTGCACTTTCTCAAGTTGCTTCTGACACGATAAAAAAATTCTCTTTACATATACATTGCTATAATGTTCTGGAATTACTTACCATACAAGCAGCCTGAACAGCTTCTGACACATTGCCTGCATTGGGCTCACACCAGAAAACATGGCACTCAAAATGCTGGTTTCCTGCATCCATAATGAAGGCAAATGTATGGGCATCTTTCCCCACGCCCATAAAAGACAAGAACCGGACACGACATTCCACTACGATCTCCTCTTCATTCTAGTGAATTAGGAAGAGTTGTTATTACAATGATTGCAATTTGATTTTCAAAGCAGCATTAAAATGCTCATAGCTTGAGTACTGAAATATTAGTTTTCTGAATACCAACACGTTATGGATTATATGAACTAAATTGAAACAGGCTTCTAAAAGACTCTGAAAAAGAGAGCAACTCAAGTAGATGGCACTGAGCATCCTATAAGAGGTTTGGTTCATGTAAACAGGCATCATCTCCAAATAGTTTTACACACAAAGGAATGGCATATATATGAGAGGTAGCTGTTCTAGTTCCAAACATGCATTGTTTACTTCTGGAAGCATAAAGAGGAAAATCTACAACTTGTACATTTGGCTACCTAAATCTTTAGGAATGCAATGGCACCATGTGAAGAGTTTTCCTTATTCTGGGAAGGCACACTGGAACAACCACATTTTCAGGCTCCTCCTAAAGACTGCCAACGTTGGGGCATGTCTGATGTCCTTAGGGAGTGAATTCCAGAGTCGAGGGGCCACCACCGAGAAGGCCCTCTCCCTCGTCCCCACCAATCGCGCCTGCGATTGGTTCGGAACAAGAGCTGCATTTGTCATGGCATCCACTTTAAAGACGTATAAAATGTGTATGGGATGCTGGGATGTCACGCCTAGCTGCGTGACCGCATTTCCGTATACGAACCCACACAATCTCTTTGATCATCTGGAGAGGCCCTGCTCACGCTCCCATCTCCTTCGCAGGTGCGATTGGTGGGGACGAGGGAGAGGGCCTTCTCGGTAGTGGCCCCTCGACTGGAATTCACTCCCTAAGGACATCAGACATGCCCCAACGTTGGCAGTCTTTAGGAGGAGCCTGAAAACGTGGTTGTTCCAGTGTGCCTTCCCAGAATAAGGAAAACTCTTAGCAATATGTCCTCAAATGCACTTTAATATTGATTTAGGATTGTCTGTGTGCCCTCATCTTTCCTTGAAAACCCTATCCTAGTTTACCCTACCTTGTTCAGGCCCAGCATTTTAAATTTTAATTATTACATTTGGCCCGGCCATAGGTTTTTAAATGTAGTATGTTATTGTTTATTGCTTATTGTGTATTTTTTGTTTTTGAGTTTTATTTTAACTGTTTTGTATTGATTATTTGTTATCGCTTTTGTTTATTGATGTGCTGTGGGCTTGGCCTCATGTAAGCCGCACCGAGTCCCTTGAGGAGATGGTAGCGGGGTACAAATAAAGTATTATTATTATTATTATTATTATTATTATTATTATGTCCTTGGATCTCTGAATCCAGGTTTTCCTCTTGAAAGTGAGATCTCAGCAAATCATTTTGATTATTCCATTTGTGAAAAGCAGAACATCTCTTCAGCCCTTTCTTCTCATCCTGCCCAGGAAATGGCAATTAAATCTCCCAGTAATGACCATTCATCATTAGCCACACAGTCCATTCTGAAGTAAGCGCAATTACACCGCTTTTCACTCTAGATTACAAAATGGATGAGGACAACAGTAACTTTAAAGTCCAAACTACAAGTCCTTAATGTTACAATAAGTCGTAGCAGAAGCAAGTGTGTGTTAAAGAAAAACCTCATGATGTTAATTATTATGTGCAGCTGGTAATGTAGGTCAGCCAGCATGTTTGGGCCACACCCGATGGGGTATAACTGTATGGGTTTTTAGAATATAGTTTGGAGAAGTAATATGCTGTAATGCTGCTATGCTCTAACAGTGATGCTCTTTGCTATGGTAGAATAGCTATTTACTCAAGGTTTATATTTTGCTTTCTCATTTGACTGAAGACGAAGAAGTCTTATTCTGTGTTACTTACAAGGACTATGTAAGTTTGTTGCACTTTTTGATTTTATATGCAACATTGCAAGCTTACGCCTCTGCTGATAAGAGTAAAGTTTTTCTGTTCCTTTTTTCCCGTTTGTGTGTCTTTTCAATGGGACTTGGCTAAAACACGCTTTGCGCAACACTTAGTACAGGTTGAGCATTCCTTATACAGAATTTCAATATTCAAAGTACTCCAAAATTGTCCATGTGAGCATCTGAAATTTTGCTTTTTGATGGTTCCAAGTACAGAAACTTTGTTTCATGCACCACATTATTAAAAATCTATATAAATAAAAATGTAATGTTCATTTGTGGGATTAACATAACTCAAAAATTATTGGACGAATTGTCACCAAATTTGGACACAATACACGTAACAACCCAATGAGTGACCATCACTAAAAAAAAATGAAATAGCGAGGGAACCCTGTACATTGTCCTTTTGCATAATGTTTATTAAATTGGCAGTTTTGTTATTTTAAGAGAGAAAATAGTATATGGGATATCAAAAAATCTGGAAAATGCCACGTGAACCATAATTTATTGCCAAATTTCTTCTGACACTGCACATGTTTGAGAGCTGTTATTTCTCTCTAACAAACATGAGCTTAGAAAAGTTTGATATTGATAAGTGGCTGATGGAAAACACCGAATTCTAATTATCAGTAAGGACAATCCATTTAGAAATGTAATATTTCGAAATTCGGATGACTTTGGTTGTGCCTTACTCCTTCGCTGATGACTGTCACTGTAGCATCGGCAACATTCATGGTGACAGGCATCCAGTCTTCTCTGCCGGAGGAAGCCATCAGACTCTCGACAGCACTGTTTAGCGTGTCCATCCCTATAATTGTAGCAGAAGAGAAAATATCAGATCAGTCCATGGGCCCTACTGAAACATCAGCAGCACCTAGCTCCGTCTACTTGAATTGCATCTCTTGCCACTTGCTCATCTTTCAGATCTTGGGAGAACTATTACTGGTTTTACTGGCTAGTGCTATGGGAGACTACAGTCCAACAACAAACCTGGAGGGATACTTTTTTCCACCCTGGTTTTGTGGTCCTAATAATAATAAAAAACAGTGATGGTGCAAGTCTGAAGCCTGCCCACTCTTGTACGGCTGAAGTTAGGGACTGGCAAGGACGATTCTTTGTGATCTGCCCTGAAAACCTTTATTTTTAATTTAAAAAGTTAATGAGTGGGCATTTATGATAAAAAATAAATTTAGTATTAAGGATCAGTGTGTGATTTTAAGTTTCACTTTACCATCTAACCAGGTTGTGAGTTTTGTAAGCATAAAATGAAATATCACCTTTGCCATTTTTAAAAGAAGGGCAGGATTATTATTATTATTATTATTATTATTATTATTTGAAACACAACAAGATGAGTCCACAGCAGACACTCTGCTGGCTGTTGTATTGGATCATACATCAGACACTTCCCAAATGTCTATGACTGTGTGATGTATTGGTGAATAATGTGTGCAGATCCCAGTAAGGTGGCCTTCTGCAGATGGCAGAGATGGTAATTTTGTCAGCGCCGATTGTGTTTAAGTGCAGGCCAAGGTCTTTAGGCACTGCACCCAGTGTGCCGATCACCACTGAGACCACCATAATTAATATTATTATTTGAAACAATATAAGACGAGACCACAGAAGACACTCTGCTGGCTGATGTATTGGATCACACATCAGACACTTCCCAAATGTCTAGGACTGCGTAATGTCTCGGCGAATAATGCGTGCAGATCCCAGTAAGGTGGCCTTCTGCAGCTTATAATTATTATTATAAAATAATTTTATTTGTTTTTGTGCACTCACATTAACAACATTCAATATAAACAGTATACAAAATAATGTGCATTTTGCAAATACTGAAGAAGTATAATTTCCTTGGCCATAAATATATAATTAAAGAAATAAAGAAATGTCATATCCAAAATTCCTGTTCAGCGAGGTTTTCCCTTGTTACTCTCTAGAATATAATTAATGAAAACTGTATTATTATTATTATTATTATTATTATTATTATTATTATTATTATTATTATTATCGTTATTTAGACTCCATATATTTTCTCTGAAGTTCATCTACCATTCTGTATTTAAAGAGTTTAACTATTTCACCTAAATTATAAACCAAATTGGAGAGGGGAGGGGAAGGGAGACAGGAATCTAGACTGTTTTAATCTCATTTTGTTTTCTACTGGTGAAAGAAGGCAGAAACTATAGAGGGCTGTGGCTAGCACAGTGGGTTAAACCGCCAGCTACAGAAAATGTTGCCAACTAGAAGCTTGGCAGTTCAAGCCACGGGTCAGGGTGAGCTCCTGACATCAGCCCTAGCTTCTGTTTACCCAGCAGTTCGAAAACAGCAATGTGAGTAGATAAATAGGTACCACTTTGTTGGGGAGGTAAAAGGAGCCCCCGAAAACATGCCAGCAATTTGATACATGGACAACAGGCGCCTTGGTGTAGAAAAATGAAACAGCACCTCCCCACTGCCAAGTCGAGCACAGCCTCCAGATTCCGGAGATCAAAAAAGAAGGAACCTTGCCTCTGTCTGTGTACAGTCTGCCTGTTGATAATTGTATAACGGCATTGAATGTTTGCCATATATGTACCCTGTAAACTGCTCCGAGTCTCCTCAGGGAGTTAGAGCAAAATATAAATAAAGTATATTATAATATTAATATTATAGTAGTAGTAATGTAAAATGTAAAAAGTAGTAGTAATGTAGGGCCCCCAGTGGCGCAGTGGGTTAAAGCACTGAGCTGCTGAGCTTGTTGACCGAAAGGTCGCAGGTTCGATTCCAGGGAGCGGCGTGAGCTTCCGCTGTCAGCCCTAGCTTCTGCCAACCTAGCAGTTCAAAAACATGCAAATGTGAGTAGATCAATAGTTACCGCTCTGGCGAGAAGGTAACGGCGCTCCATGCAGTCATGCTGGCCACATGACCTTGGAGGTGTCTATGGACAACGCCGGCTCTTCGGCTTAGAAATGGAGATGAGCACCACACCCCAGAGTCAGACATGACTGGACTTAATGTCAGGGGACACCCTTTACCTTTAATGTAAAAGAAGCATATACATACCCACTGGCCTAGCTACAGGTAACATGCCCAAATACTGTACATGAAACTTCTGCACCAGTTCAGTCTTTGGCGTTGGGAAATCTACTGCATGGGAACAACAACAACGACAAAAATCAATTTCACCTTGTCTACATTCACATCAGGAAAATGAGCAACATTCTTATTTCAATGACAGAACAGAAAATCACCAGATAATTGAACTCAAGGGATACTGTTATTGATCGCCATAAATTTGTCTTCCTTCTCCCACATATTTAAAGGATCCAAATCGATTTCTGATGGAACCAAGGAAAAGTTAATTATAACTTTCTATATTTTGTAAATAAAATGTTCTCAAATGAGAAGCAAAAAAGAGAGAAAGGAGAGAAGACATTGAGCTCCATTGCTATGGCCTAAAATAGACTGATCTAAACTTGCCACAAAGCCACTGGATTATGCTCATGTCTGGCACAAGGACTGGGAAAGGAGCCATGGCTTAGAAGAGGAGCCATTCTGGGATTTCTTTTCTGAAAATGTAGACTTTCTACGTGTTGGCGAGGGTTTCATGGTCAGACTCACTGGGTTGCTGTGAATTTTCCCAGCTGTATGGCCATGTTCCAGAAGCATTCTCTCCTGATGTTTTGCCCACATCGATTGAACCACCTAAACTGGGCCCTACAGGCCAACGGATATTCCACCACAGACATCAGAAGAGCTGCAAGACCAAGAACAAGCCACACGAGTGGCTGAACGGAAGACTAAGATCCACCCAGAGGAAAAGTGTTCTTATCATATATCAAAGGAACCAGTGACCATATAGGGAAGCTGATCATGAAACACAACCTACAAACTATCTAAAGACACTAAGAAAATCCAACAAATTCAGCAAAGGAGGGATCTTCTCACCTCTGCAGGAGTCTACCATATGCCATGCCGCTGTGGACAAGTCTACATAGGGACCACCAAGCGCAGCACCCAAACACAAATCAAGGAACATGAAAGATACTGTGGACTAAGTCAACCTGAGAAGTCAGCCATAGCAGAGCACTTGATGAACCAACCTGGAAACAGCGTATTATTTGAGAACACAGAAATGCTGGACCACTCTAACAACCATCATGTCAGGCTATACAGGGAAACCACTGAAATCCATAAACACGTGGGCAATTTCAACAAAACAGAGGAAACCATTAAAAATGAATATAATCTGGCTACCAGGATTAAAAAAAAAACCTCTAGAATCAGGACAGTAATAAAGAGCAACTCCCCAAAAAATCAAACAAACAAAATAAAACAAGGGAATTCCAGACAGGAAACAATCAGGGTCAGTGAACACCTCTCAACAAAGGATTCCCACAGGCAGGAAGCAGCCAGGCTTTGAATCTGCAAGGCCATTTAATGTTAATCATTGTGGCCAATTGCAACATTCACACTTGCCTCAAACAGACAAGAGTTCTTTCTCCCACCCTGGACATTACTCCACAGATATACAGACTCCACTTGCCTACTCTCCAACAGACCTCACAACCTCTGAGGATGCCTGCCATAGATGTGGTGAAACACCAGGAGAGAATGCTTCTGGAACATGGCCATACAGTCCGGAAAACTCACAGCCATCCTAGACTTTCTAACCATGAAAGCCATTACTGGACAGACTCAGGCAATTATACAAGAGCAGATTAGGAACTAGGTTTGCTTTATAATATTAACCGATATGGCTCAAACATCCCCCCAGAGCAAGTTTTGGGGCACACAGTAGGAAGTGTCAGTGGAAGTTTCCCCCTCCAGTCTCCAGTGGATTCAGGTTTTGTCATTTGAAATCTAGCACTGGATTATGGATGCTTCAAGGTGGATGGTTCCACAAACTACAACCAGAGTAACGCTGTGCAATTTCCATCCTCCCAATTTTTCTGGTGTGAAAAATGTTGTCGAGAAACACCCTTCCATGCTACCTCTCCTCAAACAAGCTATACATAATACTGTGTTTTACAAGTATTTTAGAAGTTAATTTAAGTTATTAACAGCCATTAACTAGATAATGTGTAATGAATGAAACATTTCCGTACCTTGCAAAGGAACTTCAAGGGTAACATTTGTCCGGTCTTGTAAGGAGCTGCAAGCCACAGCTTTGGCATTCTTCCGTTCTGCCATAATCTGGAGATGGTGAAAATACAGTGTTTTCTCCCCTCAGCAAATGTCAAAAGTGGTATATGTTTTGTCCTAATCTTGACAATGTTTTAATATTTAATATTGTAACTAAGGTTGACAAAAAAGTTGTGTATAGCGTCAAAGAAATATATTTATTTATTTAAAACACTTATATTCCGCCCTTCTCAACCGAAGGGGACTCAGAGCGGAGCACAACATATACATGGCAAACATTCAATGCCTGGATACAATACATAAACATTAAAAAACATTTATCTAAATATTAAAATAACCATTTAAAATAACACAATTTAAAACCGTCCTAGCCATCTGCATCAAATCCAATTGGCCCTGTCATCTTTCCCATTGTCGCATTGTCGCTAACCCTGACCCAAAAGCTTGGTCCCACAGCCAAGTTTTTACCATCCTTCTAAAGGACAGGAGGGAGGGGGCCGACCTGATCTCACAAAGAAGTGAGTTCCATAGCTGGGGAGCAATCACCGAGAAGGCCCTGTCTCTTGTCCCCACCAATATATCCCACTGATTTCACACCAGAAGCGACTAGCAGTTTCTCAAGTTGCTCCTGACACGGAAAAAAGTGCTATCTTAAAACTTCCCACTTTTTCAGGTGGATAACTATATATGCTACTCTGAGGTGCTGAATCCAGATTCCCAGGAGCTAAAATCAGAACCTCTGGGGTTACTGAGACGGCAACACCTTCTTTTTCATGACCCTTTCTGGAAGGAAGGAAGGAGGGAGGAATGAAGGAGTGAGGGAGGAGGGAGGGAGGGAGGGAGGAGGAGGAAGGAAGGAGGAGGGAGGGAAGGAAGGAAGGAAGGAGGAAGGAGGGAAGGAGGAGGAGGCAGGGAGGAAGGAAGGAAGGAAGGAAGGCAGGAAGGAAGGAAGGCAGGAAGGAGGGAGGGGAGGAGGGAGGAGGGAGGAAGGGAGAGGAGGGAGGGAGGGGAGGGAGGAGAGAGGAGGAAGGAAGGAGGGAGGGAGGAGGAGGGAGGGAGGGAGGGAGGGGAGGGATGGAGGAGGAGGGAAGGGAAGGAGAGAGGAGGAAGAAGGAGGAGGGGGAGGGAGGAGGAAGGAGGGAGGGAGGGAGGAGGAGGAAGGGAGGGAGGGGGGAGGGAGGGGGGGAGAGGGAGGAGGGGGGGAGGGGGAGGGAGGAGGGAGGGAAGGGGGAGAAGGAGGGAGGGAGGAGGAGGAAGAAGGAGGAGGGAGGGAGGGAGGAGGAGGGAGGAGGAAGGAAGGAAGGAAGGAAAGGAAGGAGGGACAGGAGGAGGGAAGGAGGGAAAGGAGGAGGAAGGAAGGAGGGAGGAGGGAGGGAGGAGGGAGGGAGGGAGGGAGGAAGGAGGGAGGGAGGAGGGAGGGGGGAGGGAAGGGGAGGAGGAGGGAGGGAGGAAGGAGGGAGGAAGGAGGAGGAGGGAGGGAAGGAGGGAGGGAGGGAGGGAGGGAGGAAGGAAGTAGGGAGGGAAGGAAGGAGGGAGGGAGAGAAGGAGGAAGGGAGGAAGGAAGGAAGGAAACTTGCCTTAGAACAGATTTCGTGCAGGCTTGTGGCAATGGCTTTTGCTGGTGTGTCACATCGAAACACGTGACATTTCAAAATCCTTGTCTCTCTATCTCTTGCTACGTAGGCAAAGTCCCTGTGTAAACAACAGAAAAGACAGTACAATAAAATCAGGGACATCATAGCATTTTTTAAAAATACACTTAATTGGTGAGACCATACTCTTGTTTCAAACCATGAAGTTGATGGGAAGGAGGAATCAGTTTAATAATATTGCATTAGAACTTTATGACATGCTGTGGCTTGGTTTTATAAGTCAGTTGTAACACAAAAAAAGCATTTATTTTGAGAGGTTTGGGTTATCTTATTATAGAAAAAATGAGGGAAACAAAAAATACCTCATTTTTAAAAAAAATAGAATTTCTATCCTGAACTAATTGAGAGCGCTCGGATTGTTGCGCTTATTTAACGCCTAGTTAAGCAATATTTAACAGAGCAATGATGGTTCATTCGAATAACATGGAATTTATGTGCTGTCCTCTGAGATCTAGGCTAGTTATTATGCTAAGGCCTGGTGAGACATCCCTATTAAATGCAACCTAAAAATGTTAATAAATGCATCTGCATAAAAATGATGATATCAATTTCATTTTGCCAGCAAGAAGCTACATATGTAAGAGGTGTAAAGAGCTAAGGGGGAAACCTTCTCCTGCAATGACTTGTATAGGACATGCGTTTTTCTGGCTTCAGCATTCCCAGTGGATCCATTTGATGCCTCGCAAACATATGTGAGATTTCATTGCTTTTAGACACAGTTCTTTGGTTAGTTAGGTTGACATGTGGTTCTTGTTTGTCCACTAAAAATAATTTTCCTGGGAGAATTAATTTATGACATGATTAGCTAACAAAACAGGAGCTTTTTGTTGAGTTCCAGGGCCAGAGAAGCAGATGGCGGAAACAGAAGAATGGCTTGTCTCAGGGGATCGTGCTCGCCCCATCCATGTTCAACATTTACACAAATGACCAGCCACTGCCAGAAGGGACAGAGAGTTTCATCTATGCTGATGATCGTGCCATTACCGCTCAAGCAGGGAGCTTTGAGATGGTTGAACAAAAGCTCTCCAAAGCTCTAGGTGCTCTTACTGTCTATTACAGGGAAAACCAACTGATTCCTAATCCATCTAAAACACAGACATGTTCATCTCAAGAACAGACAAGCATCCCGAGCTCTGAGGATTACCTGGGAAGGAATCCCACTGGAGCATTGCAGCACACCCAAATACCTGGGAGTCACTCTGGATTGTGCTCTAACCTACAAGGAGCACTGCCTGAACATCAAGCAAAAAGTCGGCGCTAGAAACAATATCATACGAAAGCTGACTGGCACAACCTGGGGATCACAACCAGACAGTGAAGACATCTGCCTTTGCGCTATGCTACTCTGCTGCTGAGTATGCATGCCTAGTGTGGAACACATCTCACCACACTAAAACAGTGGATGTGGCTCTTAATGAGACATGCCGCATTATCACAGGGTGTCTGCGCCCTACACCACTGGAGAAATTACACTGCTTAGCCGGCATTGCACCACCTGACATCCGCCGGGAAGTAGCAGCCAATAGTGAAAGGACCAAGGCAGTAACATCTCCAGCTCATCCCTTGTTTGGGGATGAGCACGTCAACGACTTAAATCTAGAAATAGTTTTCTTAGATCTACAGAGACACTCGCTGGAACACCTCAGCAAGCGAGAGTCCAAAAGTGGCAGGCTCAAACCCAGCACCTCAACCCGTGGGTGATACCAGATGAGAGACTCCCCCCTGGGCACACAGAAGACTGGGCGACTTGGAAGGCGCTGAACAGACTGCGCTCTGGCACCACGAGATGCAGAGCCAATCCTAAGAAATGGGGCTACAAAGTGGAATCCACGACATGCGAGTGTGGAGAAGAGCAAACCACTGACCACCTGCTGCAATGCAACCTGAGCCCTGCCACATGCACAATGGAGGACTTTCTTGCGGCAACACCAGAGGCACTCCAAGTGGCCAGATACTGGTCAAAGGACATTTAATCAACTACCAAGTTTGCAAAATTTGTGTTTTTTTATCTGTTTGTTTGTTTTGTTCTGTTAGAAATGTAATACAATGGTATGGTTGCTGATGACACGATAAATAAATAAATAGCTAACAATTATTTTCATCAAACCTTTCTCTTCTCGTTATTACACTTTTTTGTTCTCTGAAGAAAAACTGTGTATAAGGATGAGTTTTTTTCAGTGGATTTGAGATGTAGAACTGTCTAGACAACATATAAACCTACAACTAACATAGAGAAAGTGATGACATTTTGCTAACATGATAATTGCTTTGCTCTCAACAAGAACTAATTTTCACGTTATAGGAAGAAAGAAAAAATAAATTAGTTATTAAAAATATCAAAGTGCTGACAGATTGCAAGAGGCATGCTCACACTTCCCTGAGTCCTAGTTATGGATCTGAGAAGCCTTCAACATTCATAAGAACCCCAACATCAAACCAAGTCTTATTCGGCAAAGAGTTTAGTTCTTCTCCAGCTTTCCCACTTTGTCAACATGCTTCTTTTGATGCCTTCATATCCTCGAGCGCTATGGCTTTCCCTCCCCTTCCCAGTGTCATCTTCTGATAATGACCTCAGTCAGCTTTCTGACATTTTTAATGCATTTTAATGTCCTTTTTTCAAGCTGGGAGTCTAAGGAGACAATCCAACTGTTGCCACCATTGTAGGAGTATTGGTGGGTGGGGGTCCCTACTGGAAGTCCACATTACTCTTTGTAGAATTTTCATTGCCTTGGGTCATCACTGTGACCACAGACTAAAGGTGAAAAATGCAAGCTCTTATATTAATCATTATATTTTTGTATATGCTATCATCTGTTCCTTTACCCAAAAACTCAAGATAGACCAGCTTCACTTTGCCTGTGACCCACTCTGAAAGGCAGGTTATGCTGAGAGTGAGCATCCGCCCCAAGATCACATTGCTACCTCAACACAAAGACTAGATATTTTAAAATGTATACAGAAGCTTTACACCAAGTAGGGAATGATAAGAGTAAGTGGGTTCCCTGTCCCTGTGGTCTCTTTCTTTCAAAACAAAAGGACACCAGGACCAACGCATATGAGCTACTCTTGGCTCTAAAGGACAGCATGCTACCCAATGTGAAAGACTGGTCCACAGACTTTTGTACTGCAGTTCTGCCCACCAGCCACACAGACAAAGAGAGAAGAGTGAAAGTAGAGGTCTCCACACATCCTGCTGCTGTGGGAACGTAGGGATGGCATGTCAAGACTAATCCAAATATATTTAAACACAGATATCTATATCTGTCAAGTAGGAAATTCAGATACCGCTTATGCGGGGAGGCTAATTTAACTAATTTACGACGCAGTAAAATCTCCAGCAAGCAAGCAAAAGAATGAGGAAGTACTCCATCAGTGTCACAAATGGACGATAAAGCGACAGCTCCCCGGGTGGCCAGAATACCCTTATGAAGCTGGAATGTTAAATAGCCTCTGTGTGTCTGTCTATATATGTTGTGAGTCTATGGCACTGAATGTTTGCCGTGCATATGTACATTGTAATCTGCCCTGAATCCCCTGCGGGGTGAGAAGGGCGGAATATAAATACTGTAAATAAATAAATAACTGAGATACAAGAAATAGTATGTTATTGTTCTATTTGAAACATCAAACGTGTTAGGTTGTTGAAGGTTTTTCGGGCTGTATGGCCATGTTCTAGAAGCATTCTCTCCTGACGTTTCGCCTGAATCTATGGCAAGTATCCTCAGAGGTTGTGAAGTCAGGAGAGAATGCTTCTAGAACATGGCCATATAGCCTGAAAAACGTACAACAACCCACTGCTCAAGTTACTCTTGTAATAAATAGTCTTGGATCATCATGCAATTGTGTTTAAGAGATACAAATCCCTTAATTCTTGCACCTAAATAAGATTTTTCTTTTGCATGTTTAGCAAAACTTCAACTAACTCTTTCTTCTCCTAAGAAACTTTTTACAAGAAACATCACCTCTTCCCAGGAACACAAAAAAGCAGACATTTGTCGTTGTCCCCACCAGTAATAGCCCTTGCAGTACAATTGTTTTTATTATTACAGTATAATCTTATTTAGAGTATTCATATCCCGCTCTTCAGCCACAAAGGCTCTCAGAGTGCCTTGCAAAACGATAATTTGCCCGCAGGCTTATAATATACATAAAGAATATCAATAAGAACTAACAAATAAGACACGATGAAGATGTGTCTGTCTGGCCTGAATCCAACAGGTAGTCTGAGTGAATTCACTCAATGGACCTGCTCAACACTTACATAAATTTCATTAATTCAATACTTATATAATTTCTTATAGTGATTGGTATTAGATCCAGATTTTCCCCTTCCCTCGTATTTATTCAATATCTCCGACTACACCGGAATTCTCATGGATATAGGCCTTTTATTTTACAGCACACTGTAGTTCGTAATTATTTTCTAATTCTTTCTAACCATAATTCCAAGCCCTCCTAGCAATAACCCATTCTCGGCTCTTGCACTTTCTTATTGTCCCTGTCCTGAGTTGTACTGTATTCATCTGTCTTTTAGTCTTAATTTATCACCTACCTCTCGCAATGTACCATCAGCCCTTGTTTGGGCAGTCGTATTTCAAAAGCCTTCCCCTTGCCCCTCAACTCAGGAACGTCCATTATTCTCGGCTACTGGTTGTTATATGATGAATTATATTTTTAATTATGTGTTATGTTGTTGTATATGTATTTTATTTTGTATATTTTAACTCTATTTGATTGGACTTAGACCTCATGTAAGTCCCCTCAAGTCCCTTCAGGGAGATGGTGGCAGGATACAAAAATGAAGTTATTACTATATTATTATTATTATTATTATTATTATTATTATTATTATTATTAGAAACACCACAAGATGAGTCCACAGCAGACACTCTGCTGGTTTTTTTATTGGATCACACGTCGAACACTTCCCAAGTGTCTAGGCCTGTGTGATGTATCGGCGAGTAATGTGTGCAGATCCCAGTAAGGTGGCCTTTTGCAGCTAGCAGAAGGTAATCAGCGCCGATTGTGTTTAAGTGCAGG